ATGGTCACGAAGGCGTTTTTCTTGACGGGTTGTTTTCGATTTATACGTAGATCCTCTCCAGAAATCACCGTAATCTCGAAAACCTGCAAATCATTCGAACTCCCCATGATTGTTAACTTCTTTTTTTTTCCCCCTCCCCTGTGGATTCTTTTGTCAAGAGATCAAGGGAAGGTTTGGATGGAAGTTTGAGAGGAGAAATATAGTGGGATATATATAGGAGGGGTAGAGGAAGATTGGAAGAAAAGAGAGAGAAAGGAGGAGGTTGTTTCTGTAGACAAGGGGTATGGGTTTCGTGGAAAGTATGAGGAAATAAGGGGGTATCAGGATGCTATAAGATGGTGTACTATACGCAGATGTTGTTGTACGTTGAAAAAGTCATGAGTTGGACTGACCGATATAGTGCTATACGATTTGGAAAGGTCCAAGTGCATTCGAATAGTGAAGTGGGCCGCCAGCAGCGGAGACAAAATCAATATGTGTTTGGAAGTTTCATTATTTTTTAGATTGAGAAAAGCAGCTTATCCCATTTTGTCCCAAACTTGATGTATGTCATACAATAATGCTATACATTTATCGGTCTACCAATTAAAGATTTGTTTATGCTTGGCTAGATCATGTTTTCAAAAGATCCAATTTTTCAAATTGTATCACACCATCTCATTAAATAGTGTGACACAATTTGGGCGATTGCATTTTTGAAAATGGGATCTAACAAAATTTTGGATTTAAAGATAAAGCCAGTTGGAAACCTGGGAAACTTTATATCATTTCAACTGTTATCAAAGTCCCATGAAAGCTTGTCAAAACAGACTGCCTTCTAAGGCACTTTCTTCTTGAGAGAAATATCATCTTTGCCACTTCTTGCCCTCGCTGCAACCATTCCTGTGAAGACTCAGCTCATGTTCTTAGATATTGCCCCCATGCTTCCTCCTTTTGGCAAAGCCTCAACATTCCCACCTCCTTTGATCTGGATTTTACAGTTTGGCTTAAAACTGGCTGTCTGTCCAAGCATATTTCTCCATTTTATGGAATCCCCTGGGGTGCTGTTATCTCTTTTGCCTGCTGGAATCTTTGGATTGCCAGAAACAAGGCTGTTTTTGAACCATCTAACCTCTTCTCCATTCTACACAACACTCTAGCAGTGGTGGCTGTATACTCCTTTTTAAGACCTATTCAGAACATAGTACATCCTAGAATAGAAGTACTCATTAACCGGATTCCCCTGAACCTTCCTGTTTCAAAATCAATATTGATGGGCCTTCCATAGGGAATTTGGGTCTAGCTAGATCAGGTGGCTTGATCAGAAATCACCTAGGACACTGGGTAGCTGGGTTTAGCAGAAAACTAGGACACGCTACCAATATACTTGCTGAGTTGTGAGGGATAAGGGATGGACTATCCTTAGCTTCCTCTCTTAACTTGCAAAATGTTGAATAAGAAGTTGATGCTAAAACTGCTCTAGACTTGCTTAAATCTGTAAATACCTCAACTCATGAGTATGCTTCAATTATCTTTGATTGCAGGTTCTTGATCTCTGCTCTGTCCAAAGTCACACTTAGGCATGCTTACCGAGAAGCAAACCAGTGTGCTGGCAGATTGGCGAAACTGGATGTTCAACAAGATATGAATTTTGTATGCTATGACAATAGCCCTCATGCTTTGAGAAGTTTAGTAGATGCAGATCTTAAGGGAATTTGCTTCCCTCGTTTTGTACCTATAACTTAAGTTTGTTCAATATATAGTCCAATTTTTTACCAAAAAAAAAAAGTACCATAAAAGAAATATCCATGTATATCTGATTTGACTGATTAGAGTTGACAATAGAGGATAAAGTTTTTACAAACTATAGTAGAAGTTGTTTTCCACAACTTCTGTATTTATAGAACCTAAAAATTATCTCCTTATGATTAAAAATCAAATTTATGGAGTAGAAAGAAATAATAATGCCCTCACTGCAGGAAAATTGTCTTTTTCATTTTCTCTTTCTTCTTCTCTTCCTTTTCTTTATTATGTTTAGATTTTTTTCCTTCTCCTTTACTCCTATTGCAAAATACAAATTTTGGCATTAATGTGCTAAGGAAATTTCTTTCAAGGTTGTTTACATATCTGTATTTTGTAGCTCAAAATATTTAATTGTCAAATGAGAAATTAAAAAGCATCCACTTTATTTTAAAATTTTAAATATGTCAAATTTATACTAATAATTTCTTACTATGTAGTTGTTTTATTAGTTGCGTACTAATTTTTTTTTAAAAAAAGAGGTTGGTAGTAATTTCATTTTAGGCTTAACTAAACATTTTTGTTATGTAAAAAGTTTAATTATCATAAATTACTATAAAATTAAAAAGTATATATTTCATAAAAATCCACTGTGTAATTTTTGCATTTTTGAAAAGTAATGCATCATGACATTAATACTTCATAAGAAATTGTTAATAGAAATGTGAAATACTTAAATTTCTTATATAAATACACGCTTTTTAATTTCTTTTTTAGTGCATTTTAATTTCTTATTATAACTCATGACGATTAAATTGTTTTAGTACTATAAAAGGAAATTCTTTAACATATTATCATTGAAATTTTTATGCAATAATAGGAATAGAGGGGAAGAAAAATAAACTAAACATAATAAAGAAAAGGAGGAAAAAAAGAAAGATAAAATGAAAAAAAAAAAGTGTTACGATTCAATTTTCCCACATCGAGGGTGTTATTGTCTTTTTGACCCTGTAAATTTGACCTTTAGTCATTGGGACGTAATTTGTAAGTTTTGTAAATACAAGAGGCAATTCGCTACTAATTCATGATTTGCGGGAGGGCAATTTGTAATTAAGCCAAAGCTTTTAATGTACGGTATCCGATTGACTGACTTCAATGTTTTCCACAGGTTGTTGAGGAATTTCTTATTATACTATATATATATAATAAATCTTATATACACTGAAAAAGTGTATATATTATCACAATTGAATACATGATACGTATGTAAAATTTAAATTTTAAATTCAAATTCAAATTATATGTCATACATCCAGTGATAAATATACATACACTGTAAGTGTATAGAAGATTAATTCATATATATATATATATATATATATATATATTTATTTATTTATATGTCATGAGTTTTGAGCGAAAGGTCAATTGTAAAAAGCTCCTAGCATTTTTATTACTAAATCATCGTCGTTGTTATCCAAGTGATAGAGAAGGGATAAATTTCTATCTAAAATTAGAGTAAGCTTCCACAAAGACACTGCAAATGTACCAGCAAAAAGTAGCCGCCCTTTAGTCATACCCTGTAATTTCCCCCACTTTTTGTATATACTTTGTGTTTTCTCATCATCATAACATCATTAGTCAGGGTAGTCAGTCCAGTCCGCTGTGTTGTGCTTTTGGAAATGTCACAATTCCATCACTAGTGTTTTCAACTTCTCATTTCTCAACTCAGCCCTTAGCTTTAAACGTTTTGGGATAATGTCACAATTCCATCACTAGTGTTTTGGACCGGTGCGTTTGGATTGCAATTTTTTTCAATAACTTTTTATGTCATATATATCAAATTGTTAAAGTAATTTTTTTACAAAAAATTCAAAAAATGCAATCCAAACAAAGATGTTTCATTTTTGTGTCTTTCGTTCATATTTCCAGTTTTCAGTCTTGCTTATGAGAGGGAAATTAATTGTGAGGTTTAGATGCGTCAAGAAAAGTCATATCAACATTGCAACAATCCCTAACCTTATACTCCCTCCCTTTTTTTATAACCGACGTTTAAGAAATTTGCTCTAGTGTATTTTTATCTGTCATTTTATTATTCCCATATAGTATTAATTATTTTTTCACAATTTTACCCTTTTATCTCTCTTTTCCAATACATGGTTCTTAATTACTACTCCTAGTAATTATTGCTTCTCTCTTTGTAACAACCCTAGTAATTGGACAATTAATGAGGGTACAAAAGGAAAGTGGTGTACAGATTTAAGCAATGAAAAACTTTTCTTAATTGGTGTGCAGAACTTTAAACGTCAGTTATAAAAAAAGGAGGGAGAATTAATCAAGCAATTGCAAAAGTTTCATAATTCTGCTCTATTTTTATGCAAGGAGATGTTTTGCAAAGACCCTCTTAAATGCTGATCTCAACCAAACATATAAAGGGACCTAAATGTCAGAGAAAGCTCAGACAAATTGAAGCTCTAACGAGGAGTAGAACGATGCCCAAGATTAAATTGATCAAAGCAGAATAATCATAGGATTTGTTCTTGAGACATATCGATGACTTGCTCACTTTAGAATGTTCTATCTACTTGAGTGAAACGTTCACTTTACTCTACTTGAATTAGAGAAATATTTTGGACACTTTGAATTCATTGTAAGTTTAAACTAAAAGGCCATATTCTCAAATTTCTTTTGAACGTTTGAATTTTTTAAATAAATTTACAAATTATTTGAAAGTTTTGGTCTCCTCCATCTCTCCCTCCATGGGATAGGAGTAATATAAATTATTACCATTAGACAAAAAAAAAAAAAAGAATTGGATTTATTTTTTAATTAATAACTTTTGTCCTACAGACTAGACAAGCTGATTCATTTATATGTTGAAACTAAAAAAATATTTGTTTTCTCGATAGGATTTTGATTACAGAAATACAAGTTAAATGCTCTATCAAGTGGAGATTAAAAAAAAATTGTTCTTCATTTTCCTCTTTTAATTTCCTTTTCGTTAGCATAAAGGTAATAAAATGATTGGTTCTCTATCCATACAAAATACTAATACATGAGACGAAAACAAAAGAAATTTTGACGTAAAATAATTTACCTCACAAATTTTTATCATCTTTTTATTTTACATACATCACATTAAAAAATTCTAATAAATTATGCAAATGAACTCCTGTCCGAACAAGAGTAAGCAAGAAAAAGGAAGGGGAAAAAACAAAAAGAAGCAGAAAAATGAATAGAAGGTGAGAAAGCACGACGTCGTTCCGGAACATTATGTGATTTTATCCGTAGCAGTACTGTTCTGCTGATAGCGCGGAGGGGAAAAAAAAATGGCTGCTTCGCTTCCTCAGCTCTGTCCATTACAGACCTCTAAACCTCTGCTTTCACAACCATCTTTCGGCCTCCATCCCTCCTCCCGGTACCCTTTATCTAGAACCAAAGAATCCCGGTTCAAATGCTCAGCTGGTCAAACAGGATTCTTCACCAAACTAGGTCGTTTACTTAAAGAAAAAGCTAAGAGTGATGTGGAGAAAATCTTCTCTGGATTCTCGAAAACCCGAGACAATTTGGCTGTAATTGATGAGCTTTTACTCTATTGGAACCTCTCTGATACTGACCGGGTTCTTGATGAGCTTGAAGAGGTCTTAAATACTCGTTATTTTGATATTTCTTGAAGATATTAAAAATGTGATCTTTTGCTTCTGGTATTCTTGATGAAATGGGCTTTATTATGCATTCTGGATAGCTTCCCAGTTAATGATATATTTACTGGGAACAATTGTTGAAGAAAATTCAACAAGATTGGATAATAATTAGCCTAGCCTATGGTTTGGCTCAAAAAAAAAGAGGCTGTTTTTAGGATTGAGTTTGTCTAAAGTCATATTATTGAGTTGTTATCCTGAGAACTTTGAAACCTGAAGTTTAAGTTGTTTGGTTTTGACTCATTGTGTATTGAATGGATTGGCTTCTGTGTTTCATTAGGCATTGTTGGTGTCCGATTTTGGGCCAAGGATTACTATAAAGATCGTGGAAAGTCTGCGAGATGATATATACGGAGGGAAGCTCAAATCAGGAAGCGACATAAAAGTAATTTTGCTGCTAATGTTCTGGTTGTAGAATGCTTTGCTTTATATTGCACCGTTTAAAAGATTAATGGTATCTCAACTCATATACCTTGTTCACTTGCCAATGTCGGAGAACCGAATTGCAAATGGAGGGTATATTATCATTTCGACTTTTGTATTCCAAAAAGGGTTTGGAGATGTCAGCAATTCAATTTGGTTTCATGTTGTCTTCAATAATTGGGAGACTGAGAGATGGGATTGAGCATGAATTCTTACTAATGGAGTTCTGTCTAAGATAAAGTACAACATTAAGTACTTTAAGCTTTGTCATGGTGGAATGCTGTTTGTTGTAGGATGCTTTGAAGAGGAGCATCTTGAATTTCTTAACTAGTAAAGCACCCAAAACCGAGCTTCAACTTGGATATAGGTTTGATATTGTTTGCATTTGGTTCTTTGAGCTATTTTTCTTTTATCTTTTTGTTCAAATGTAACTTCAGTTTCAGTTGATATTTGTTCGTGGCTTCAATTCTTAGGAAACCAGCTGTGATAATGATAGTTGGCGTCAATGGGGGTGGGAAGACAACATCTCTTGGTAAGACAGACTTAAGGCAGTATGAGCAAAAGTGAGTAATGAGGGATGTATAATTGATCACTAGGTTGAAAGAGGTAATTAACAATATAAGAGCTATCTTTGCTGGTGCATTGATTATCATGAAATTTGAATGCAGGAAAGCTCGCAAATAGATTGAAGAAAGAAGGTACCAAGGTGAGTTCTCTGCTTTCCCTCTCTCTCATTTTAGCTTCCTGCTTTGTCGTTGTAACTGAACAAAAGTGTACTGATGTGCATATATTTGTTATAACTTTTTCTTTCTCTGACCTACCCTTACTCTTCTAAGTTCTATTTTGGTTTCCAACATTCCATTTTGTTTTCTGGAAGATTTTACACCGAACAAATGGTTTTTGATGGGAATATTTGTTGTTTTCCAATTATCCATCTTTTAGTTTATTGGAGTTAAAAGACTTGGGTCCACATATTCAAGCAGAATATTCTGAACCGTAAAGAATAGGCTTTTTTAGCAAAGGTTCTTATGTTGTTTTCTCTGCTTTAAATCTCTGTCAGATATTAATGGCAGCAGGTGACACATTTAGAGCAGCTGCAAGTGATCAACTGGAGATTTGGGCTGAAAGGACAGGTTGTGAGATAGTTGTTGCTGAAAAAGAGCATGCCAAGGCAGCTACAGGTAAACAGTATACATTACCTAGTGTAACAGATATACTTTGTCATTTATGCCCTGTCCGATATCATGCAGAACTTATCTTTTGATTAACCCTAACTCCTGATTTTGAAGTATTTCCTGAGTAGTTCTTTCACAGGCTGTGAAAAGAGGGAAGGAACAGGGTTATGATGTTGTTTTGTGTGACACATCTGGGCGTAAGTACATAAAATTGATCATTCATCTTTCAAAAATCATTCAGTTAATTGTCAGAAAATGCAAGATAAAGTAGACTTATCATTCAATCTTGTTTTTGTTCTTTCCAGGGCTGCATACAAATTATAGCTTGATGGAAGAATTAGTGGCTTGCAAGAAAGCTTTAAGCAAAATAATACCTGGTGCACCCAATGTAAGATTCCCTGTTCTGTTTTTAAAGATCAATCTTAGGATGAAATGTTCTGCATTGTGATGAATGTTTCTCTCTCTCTCTCTCTCTCTGTGAGAATCTTTAAGATTGTTTTTTTTTCCTTTGGGATCATATATTGGTTTCGTAGTGAATTATAACCTTTTTTGCCCTTTTGATACGAACAAATTTGAATTATTTTCTCTGTTGTTTAGCAATTTCCAGACTCTTAACTTGATTTATAATTACTTCATAAATTTGAAGGAAATCCTTCTTGTACTGGATGGGACAACTGGTCTAAATATGCTTCAACAAGCAAGAGAATTTAATGAGGTAAATTTGTCCTTCATCTTTCACACCATGGAACCTCATGTGCACATACCCCAGATTATTTTAATGGAATGTGATAAACTCTTGTTGACCTCGGACTGCCTGTTTTGCAGCATTTGCAAAAGTATGCTTGCTTGGTAGAATTCTTCCTTTTGTATAATCATGTGTTCGACTTAGGGTTGCGATATTTGCTCATTTTATCAGCTGCTTTCAGGTTGTAGTGGTAGCCTGAAAGATTTTTCAAGATATTCCAGTAAGTATGACAACGTGGAGGGAATGCATACAAATGAAAACTTCATGCGTTCCATCTGGTTTCCTACTACCAATAGGATTAAAGCACCTATTGCATCATTAATTTGTTGCAAATCCTAGTCCAAGGAGCATGTTTTGTTCCTCAGCATAGAAATTTAGTCATGATAATTCTATGGTAATTTTTGAGTACTGCAATATCATAATTGTCCAAGTTCCCTGAATGAATTATATCATCTCAGATTTCGATGATCTTAAATTAGTTCTTTTTTTTTTTTTTTTTTTTATATGTTGAGCCAGAAGGAGGTTAGCCCCTCACCAGCATGACTTCTTGAGTGAGATGACCATTTATTTTGACCTCAATTTCCTGGGTGTAGATTTCAGGTTATGAGGCTTTAAAGTGATTGGACATGGATTTTCTAGATAGGCCAAGCCTATGTTATTCGATATGCAGTACAACTAATAACAGTTGACCTGGTTACACTGATTGGACTGATGCGATTACTTTGGAATCTTTTCTAGAATACAATATTTTGTAAAGGGACTGAAAAACTGCGGTTTTGAAGAATAATTCAATCATGAAGATGGGTTAGTCAACTTGTTTTAGACATTTGTTCAAGCAGAATGATGTTGCTGGGTTTAAAATGAGACTATATATGCAGGCTTGGGTTATACAGCTTCTCTTAAACGCTTTCCTCTCAACCTTTGCAGTTTTCTTTTCTCTTTTTTTATAGATAAGGGATGGGTGAGAAGGGTTGCTCTTAAAAGCTGAATCTTTGATTCTCTAATCAAACTGAGTCCAAGCATTCTTAAGGGGGATTAGAGAGTACAGTTTATTTTTCTCTTGCGTGTCTATACATCCTGTCTGTTCACTGAATCTTACTTTTGCAATTGGACTAAATTTTGGTACCAGGTTGTTGGAGTAACTGGTTTAATATTAACAAAGCTTGATGGTTCTGCCAGAGGTGGCTGTGTGGTACACTTACTTTCATTAGCTGAATTTTTCCCAATTCAGTTATCTCTATCACAGCTCTCCTCTATATGCGGTGGACTAATGATGTTACATCCTTGCTGAAGGTGAGTGTAGTTGATGAACTTGGAATTCCTGTGAAATTTGTTGGTGTTGGTGAAACGGTTGAAGACCTCCAACCTTTTGATGCTGAGGCATTTGTCAATGCAATATTTCCTTGAGAGCCTTGTAGGGTAAGGACTTGATATTAAATATGTGTAACTGCTTTTTGGTCTTCAAGGATCAGATGCTCTTTCTCACACAGATACATTCGAGTCTTTACTTCTGATATCTTGTTAATTTATTCGAGTCTGAAAAATTGTTAGGATGCTGATGATCCAAATCTTTCATCTGAATTATCGTACATGGAGATCAGATATTTAGCCGAATAGTCTTGTACTGATTGTCTACCGGCTTAGTTAATTCTGCTCTTCTCCAAAGTCGCTTTCTCTGCATCCAAATGTTAGGAAATGCAAGCTCTAGCATATTCACGCATCTTGTAAGATTTCCTTCTCTCTTTCAAAGAACAGCTTTTGCCTTTCTTCTAACAACACCAATATATTGCATGTACACTTGCATATCCATGCAAGTGTACTCCATCTCTTATAGCATAGTCTGAACTTGTTAATAGCATAGTCTGAACTTGGTTCAAGTATTTATTTAAAGATAAAGAAATTTGGGTTTTGAGCTTAACAAGTTCTGAAACCTTCTTCCTCAGTCATTTCTGATAGCATAGTCTGATGAGAAAATCTTTTAGTCTTGCACATAAACAGGAGAATCCCATTATACAATTGCAAGTATAAGTTTCTGCAGTGTTCTAAAAGTCAAAAGAGCAAGATAAAAGCTAGAATACAAAGACTTGCTTTTTATCCACATGCTTCCAACAAATTAAATCTATCTTCAATAGTTACGGATGGTAGAATTTTGAACAGTATGCCAGGCAACAACTACAAGAAAAATTCATGTAAGATGCTTATTTGTAATTTGCTGAACAAATATGATTCACAATCTTGCAGTAGGCAGGTGGTATATGGTTGCACGAGAAGTGTAAACCAATTTGCCTGACTCCTCAGTTTTGAACTCAACTGCAACCACTGTCAGGTTTCTTCCGCTCCTTACCACTGATCCATCAACAATCACATTAGCCTGTAGAGAAAGAAAACACTTCAACTTTTACGTGGATACAAATTTTATGAAGAAAAACCTAATCCAAGAAGAGTAATGCATGAGTGACATCATTAGCCAACAACCATATCAAAGATGGCAAACCCTTGATCATGCTTGCATATGTATCACATTTCAAAGCTTGAACAGACTACCAACAAAGATGAGGCATCATCAGCTAGTTTAGGTGATTTATATGATCTGACAATTCTTCTCTACCTAAATTTCTTGGGCAATTACCCAATGAATGAAGCGGACATGCTTTAAAAAACTTTTAGATCTTGCTAATGTGTTCACAAAAATGGGTTTGATTGTTGAATAGAGAGGTACATCTTTTCAAAACAGCAAAAGGAAAATGTCAGCAATTGTCCCCCCAAACTGCCCAAGCACACAAGCATGAAAAACAAAAGAAAAAAAATCAGTCCCCTCTCAGTGAAAGGAAAAAGAAAAGAGAAATGTTTATGATGCAATCAAATTTTGCGAGTGCTTATAATGTACTACATCTCTATAAAAAGAGTTGCGTTATCAATCTGAACTACAAAGGATAATATTCCCTTAATGATGGTCACATTTACATCTAAAGAAAAGCAGCCTGTCACTGAGTCTTGTAGCCTTTGCAAATCATGCAATTCTCTACGTATATCAGCAATCATCAAATTAATCAAAAACAACATCTAAACAGGATGCAAATGATTCTTGAAGTATCCTAAATGGTCTCTCATTTAGATGCTTTAAGGATCTGAAGATAAGGTAGATAGTTTATGCAGAGTCTAATGTAAAAATCAGTCACATTGAGAATGTGAAGGCAAACCCACTGGATAAGGTTCCAATTGCTACAGAATCCGGGAAGTGCTGGGTGCTAATAATCATACCTATGCACCTAGAAATAAGTTTTCAGATACTTCAAATTCGAATATAGAACAAGCATGTAACAGAAACACCAATATCTTAATCTAGATATGTAGATGATACTTCAAAGAATAAAAAGAAACAAGGACATCATCATCCCTGCTAACTCAGAACCTATTTAAGACTGTAAAGAAGTTTAAAGCAGAAAATTCACCTTATTAGGAGCAGCGGAGAGATAAGATGTGCTCAATTCTCCAAGAAAGATCTCCTTATCCTTTCCTACTACAGTTCTAGCACAAGCATGCGACACCAATTCTGCCACAGATGCAACTGCTCCGCCGTGCATTCCACCATAAATATTCTACAAATGGAGTAAACCGAAGCAATCTGTAATCTGTAATGTTGGTCGTGGAAAATTACATTTATCTAGAAACATCAATGGTCTAGGAAATTTTTATCATCCAGAAACATCAATTATCGACAATCATCCGTAAAGTCCCATACAGTCAGGTCACTCGCATCGCAAAGGCAACTATTCTAGGCCTCCTTTTTCTTTCCTCTGAATAAAGCGAAGAAATGTGCCAAAAACAATAAAAATCCAAAAAGTTTGGAGCTTTTGGGTAAATTTTCAATTCCATCATCCATCCATTTATATTCTTGACTTTTGAAAGCCACCAAGATCACAAATTTAACATAATCATCAAACAGTTTTCGCAGCCAAGAACTGATCGGCCCAAGTCAACTAAGATTTTCCAGTTAAACTTGTTGCATTTTGACAGCAATTAAACAATACTACAGCTTTCAAAAATCAAATATACTGAAATTTTGCGAAGAAAATAGAGAGAACAATCAAAAGGTTCAAACGGGTTTTAGCTAGTAATAGTAATCCTTCTCTGTATTACCAAAATTGGGAGTTTGACAGTGAGAAGGCAGGAGATTTTGCCCCGTTCAATGGATTGGACCTTGAGGCAGCTGCGGAAGAGGTCAGAATAAGCATCAGGATGGCTAAGATTAGGTGGGATGGGGGTAGAGAATTTGAAGAACTCGTCAATCATTGCAAGAGCTTCTGCATTGATGTCTGATGGATGGTCATCTGCGACGCTGGAGGCGGAAGCGGAGCCGGGCTGTTGTCTGTTTTTGTCCATTCCGTGCACCTCCGTCGCCCAGACAGTAGGGAAGATTCGCTTAACACTGCTGTTAATATTATTGGAATAGTGGCAGCTCATACATGATGCTCTTCAGTGTGTTTTTTTTTTTTTTGTAACCCTTGCCTAATAAAAATTTGGGTAAACTTTTTCTTTTTAACGTTATACTATTAAAGTTGGGAAAATTTGGTAATTTCATACACATATTAGCATGTTATTTTTTCCCTTGTTTGGGAAAATTTGGGGAAAAAAAGGGAATTAGGAAGAATTAAAATTCATAAATAAGGTGTAATAGTATTCGAGATTTGTAAATGGGGTATGGTTTAATGTTCAGGAATGGTAAAAAATTTGATTTTGTGGACAAAATTATGAATTACCCTAATATTAGCACTTTTATGTGCATATATTTATACACTCAGGAATTTCAATTATTCTCATTTCCAATTTACATAAAAAAGGGACGATCATAGATAGACTTCCTCATTGAGTCATCCATCCATCCAAAGTGAACCTGTTTCTAGATATCCATATTTAGCTTCGGCATTTCATTAATCAGGTATAAAGACAATGAAAAGAGAAAGGCAAAATGGTTTACGAAATAGGGTAGCATTTGTCACAACACTATAAAGTCCTGTACAAAACAAACTACAGCATTTCGGAACCATGGAAGTTCTTCTTTTCTGACATAAACTTTCATTGTAACATGCACTTTTGTCCTCAGTTCTAACTCTTCCAAGTCTTATCACTTTCTGTCCTAAACAAAAGCATAAATCAAGTGTTGATTTAAAAGGACAAATTGATGACTATCCTTCGCAAAATGCCACCGAGTGCCTTGAAGACTTTCAAGTAAACATATGTAATATTTTCAGAGGGAAATGTATCAATTTGTGTTTTAAGCTTGCCTGTCCCACTCAAATCTGCTGAAAACTGGATAGCACTCGGGATCAGGCATAGGTGATAAACTGTTCAAAAGATGAATGAGAAAACCTGAATCATTCATAAGTTCACCCCCTCTTTCAGTTGCCTTCATCAGTTATGCAGTAATACCTGGCTCACACTTTAACAGAAAATGGTTTTTTTTTGTTTTAAAAAAAAAAAAGAAAAAAAGAAGAGGAGTATCCATCCTGTGTGTCTAAATGAGGAAGACGAGTATCTCGGTCAGGAAGATCAAAAGCTAAAAGATTTTTGTATTAGCTCTCAATCAGCAAATTTTCTTTTGTAATTTTACTCCTCTTGCATTCTCCAACTCATGCAAAGAAAGCTGTGCTGCTTATATCCCTGAATCACACAGAGTATGTTGTATATAGCCTGCTGTTTTCTATTCTCAATTTATGTTAAGCTCCCTGCATAAGAAAAGAATGGAGAAAGCCAAGTCAGGTAACTAGAAGTAAAATGTATGTTAAGGATCATAATAATGAACGCCTACTATGTCACTTGTCTTCTGACAAAAAGAGGAAAAAAAATACACTGTCACCTTTCTTACTCTCCTGCCACTTTTAGTTTCACTGAAGTCCATCAACAAGAGTACTTTGCTCATTCCTAAAATTCTTAAAATGGACGAGTAAGCACACGACCTTAGACTTTCCACTTCACAGACAATTTTTCTATTATATCTCATATACTAAAACCAATCAATACAGGTATAAGATCCCATATATAGCCACAAAAGTTTACAAGTCTCTCATAGTATTAAGCGACAATTTGTCAGATAGAGAACATAATGTCAGTAACAACTATAAACTGTCAAGTGATAAGGAAAAGGAAAGAAGATATTCTTTGCCCTCGTATAACTGCATATTTCAGAAAATATGCCAGCGGATGCTTCACTCAGAAGAGCAGAAACTATATCAAAGAGCCATATATGTGGATTGGGGATATATATAATAAGACACGGTTACAATAGCAAGCAAAGATATGCTGTTCTTTCTATGATGTTGACGTTTGTCTTGGATCTCCATCTGTGATAAGAAGATGGATTAGACCGAACGTAATGAGAGATTTTGCAATGCATCAATTTCCAGCAACTGTTTGAATATTCACTTGATGCTATAGCTATTTCCTCTGTTCTCTTTCTACTGGGGTTCCTAGAACTATGAAACGCAGTTTTATGCTCCAAGCCTCCAACTATAGCTTTGCTGCTTCAGTGAGAGCTAAGCAACGAGGAGTGCCTGGTGATTTACATTTCCTTGAAAAGGTTCCTCATTCTACTGAACCCAACGTCTACTCGAGCATCTGTTTTCCTTGATCCTAAAAGAAGGAAGTGCCTAAACTTTTCCTGTCACCAGTCACAAGTAATGCAGACATTAACCTTACCCTTTTCATCTGGAAAATATTAGGACAAGTAGTACCTCACAAATTCCCATACCAGTGATGGTTAGCTTGATTGGTTTCAGAGCTTCATGTGTGACCTAGAGGTTATGTTTTTGAGTCAACAAAGGGATAAGTGGAGTCCCACTGTTGATCCTCTTTGTTAATATATTAATAACAGTAATAACAATAATAGTAAAATGAAAACAAAAATAAAAAGAGCTTCATGCAAATTGAAATCTACAAATTCATGCATTTTTCCAATCTGCTACCTGAGAACGACCTGTACAGAACAACTTTTATAAGGTAGTTCACACATTTCACGTTGTTATTTCCATTCACTAGTTGAATTATCCTATATCTGCCTACTGGCTATCACCAGCGAGACTAAAATCTGTGGTAGATAATTAAACTGGAAACACAGAATTAAATATAACTTTTAAACCAATTTAGTCTAGAACTAGATATTTGTCATTCATGAACATTAATTTCCATAATAAGCATTTTGCAACATGTACTATCAAACTCTTGTAGATTTTTATCTATTACACATATCATATTAGATGTCTATTTGATATCACCCATATAGTTCTTCAATAAAGGCAAGCATAATTCAGGAAGCAATTTAACAAGTGAACAAGCATGGATATGCATCATAGCAGTGAAAAGAATATAACACTGACCAAAAAGTCCAATGTGCAAAGGTCCTGTGCTGACTGAGTAGAAATCTTGGATTAATCTTCTGACTACAGGTATACAATTCCAGAAGAATAAGGAGCCAGGTAAGCTATCTCATTCATGATTAACAAAGAGAAATTAAAATCAGCCAAAATGCTCGTATTAGGACTTTCTTTTATCCCATACATCATCAAAGGCATCTTTCAAGCATTTCCCCACAGAACTTATGCCAGAAGAAATTTTTAACTTCCGCATCCTTTGTGAAGCATACAGTTCCCTCAACAATGGAAGTTGGTTATCTCCACCAGCAGGTGGAAACTCATGTGATCCTGGCAACCTCTCATTGTAAGAATCAAGTCCCTCAACAGTCGTGAGAAATTTATCCATGTTTTTGGAATTGCTAGCTTGAAAGGAGCTTGGAAACTTTCGTTTTCTTATAATAGATGGTGTATTTTTAAAAGTCATCGCTGCCCTCCTTAATATGGACTTTGTACTACTAACAACATATGATCTCTTTTCAAGAATATATGGTTTCATGAGGGTAGTAGAAGTTGATGGCTGCCTAATATAGCTGTCAGTACTAGGAAATCTACCAGTTGAAAGGAAAACCTTGAGATCCTTCTCCTGGAGTGGCTCATAGCACAACCCATAGTAGCTTCCTCCAACAAAGTTTTTGTACATTCTGCTAATAGTACTATGCTCACTAACTACGTCTTTTGGAACGATTGAATGGGAACTCTTAGAATGGCCCATATAGCTGAAATCTCTGCAGTCCCTAGAAAGTGGACATCCATATTTCATATCAGAACTTACAGCAAAAACGTTACCACCAATTACAATAGTGTTATTATCACCATCAGCACCCCAGGCTTGCTTCAAATGCTGGTGCAAATGTAGACAGGGAGAACCCTGGGATGGGCAATTCATGAGATGCCCATCCTTGTAGCATGTGGATTGTGCATTAACATGTTCAGTGACAAAACCATTAGACGAAATTTTGGACAGTCGAGGAATAATATGATAATGATCACCTAAAATAGCATGACCACCCTTATCTTGGTTCTGTATAATCTCTGTACAAGCCGGGGATGAAGGTTCAATTGAATTACTTGCCTGCCTGCTTGGGTGTCTACAATTTTCTCTTTTAGAATCTTGAAGATAACTATCTCTTCCATTAGGAAGTCCAAGATTTAAGTCCAGAGAACAAGCATCTGAAATCGCTTCACTGTTCATGTTCTGGATCGCCAATAATCCTGCACCTGAGCTCTGTTTTACCATCAAGTCCCCTCCATATCCGACTTCTGTCTTAGAACTGCAGGGAGTGGGATCAGCAAATTCAGGATGATCAAAAACAGAATAGGATGAATTTTGTTCCAGTTTCTTCTTCAACGAACAGTTCAGAGTCATGTTAAAAATCCAAGATAGCTGCTTGTTGAAGCTTCTGGATAAATACTTACAGTATGAATAACATCCATATTTGTCGAGAAGAAAGCATGACAGTTGAAGATGGATCTTGCAGGTCGGCGTTCTTATTGAGGAGCCCTTTTCAATGCTTGCACTTGACGAGTTATGTAAGCTGGTCCATTCCAGCATTCAAGAAGCAATGGATAATGAGAAAATTATTCAAGCACAGGTAAATGCAAAACGACAGAGTCACTATAACAAGAATGCTCCAATGGTTGGCCATCACTGAGAAATACAGAAGATACAAATTGAAAGGCTTCTGAGAAATATCAAGGTGAAGATACCTGTACAGTTTGAAGCCATCGGTTATTCGGGATTTCCACCTCCAACTTTTTGCTGTGAAGCTGCAAGCTTCAGGAAGAAATGGGAAAAAATGGAAAGGCTATTCGGCATGATCGACTGTAGTCTGTCCGTCAGCTTGACTGCACTGAAATGTTATGCATCTTTAGTTACTAGAATCAGATGTGAAAATGTGAAATTTCAATAATTCACATACGTTTATCCTCTGTTTGTAAATTCCCTGAAGTGTTAATATTTAGTCTTGGTACGTGCTCTTGTATATACGTAAAGAATTTAGCCCTTTTCCAGCTTCAAGCTTCAATCGTAACTTCCCTGCTCAGCGAGCATCATCTATGGAATGATGGGAATTCTTCGTTTTCCTTGCAGTTCAAAATATACACACCAAATTAAAAAGGGGAAAGCAGGGTTTTTTTGTTTGTTTTGGCCGGGGGGGGGGGGGGGGAAGGAGTTGCAGGCTTTTTTTTTTGGGTTGAACGATCCAAAAATCCGATCGGATCCGTCGGTTCGATCGATCAAATCATAAGCAGATTATGTCACTGGATTGGTTCGATGATTAATGAAAGAATCAATTGAATTGATCGTGTTTTGTTAATAATTGGTTGAACCGATAAAAATCAATAAAAATTAGGAGGTTTAACCGTTTTCATTAATTTTTTCCTAAAATAATTATTTCAGTTTTATTCAAAATTTAATGCCCAAATAAAAAAAAAGATTAAACCTTTACACTAGGGTTTAATCGGTCGCACCTTGAATCGAAAGCTTTTTCGATTCACTCCTTGGTCCAGGTTTAAAAACATTGGGGGGAGGAGGGTGGGGTGCTAGGAACAATGCACTAGTTGTGGCTTTGGGAATCGATTCCAAACTTGCACGAGAGAATAGAGATGCGCAAGACTTTGTATGTCCTTTTCTCTTTATAAATGGATGAGTGAAAAAACTTGGGGTGATTGTTGAATTCACTTCTCACAAGTAAAAAGACAAAGATTGATGCTGAAACTTGCTCTCCATTTCCGTTGTAGAGAAAGCAAAAGCCAAGTTGCCAAGTTACTAAACTTCTCGCACTCTACCTGGAAGAAAGCTTTTCTGGAAAGGAGGGGAAATCGATCAATAGTTGATATTGGCAGATCAATAGTTGCCTTGCAAGGAGAAGATAAAGCTAGCCCATCGCGATAAGGGCAACTCCGACGGAGTTGCATATATCGTGTGACGGGCCACCATGTAATGGGTGTGTAATACCCATTACACGCATCATATCCATTATTAAAAAATTAAAAGAGGAGTAATTGGTGCAAAAGATGAGTAATTGGTGGGCCAACTATTAATTAAAAAATTAATTATGGATCCATGCTATTACATCATCTTGTAAAGTGTAATTCATTGTGAGTGAAAGTGTAATAAAAGAGGAGAAAGTAGAATGCTGACTGGCATGTGCATTACACTCTTCTCGAGTAAAGTCACTGTAAGCAAAATATGCCAAACCACGAAGCCACGACAGTATGGCAACAAGAAAATAAAAAGGAAGCAAAATGATAAGTGCAATTTAACATTGTTATAAGCACCCAAAAAAAAAACCTTCAAATTGTTCATCAGAACTGATAAATATCATCAATCCATCCTACTTAAAGAAAAGGGGCATAGTTTCAAAGGCTAACCTAACTCAAAAGTACCAAGTTAGAGGCTGGAAGACAGTTATTTCTCGGACGAAAAATAGCTCATTGACAGTGAATAAGCACATCAGTATTGAGAATTGTAGTTAGCTGTGGCCAAAGCTTTCTGGAACTGTCTGTTGAAATTCCAAGAAAAGGCACTGAGTAACAAAAGGATGTTAAAGAATAATCGCATACCTACAATCTTCTATAGTGGAAATCAAGCTCATGATCATGGATTTTCCGCATTCTATCTCATAGACGGAGGCCGCTTTGAACATGAGGAGTACAAAGATAAGTCTCCTGAGCTGAGCTCATGGCTAAGAATCCTAAATATCACTCAAAGTATCCCTCTAGCAGCACAGTCTCACCCATGACCTTGGATGTCAAACTCTTCACCCTTAGTTTCTCTGGGACATTTAGTGACTTCTCATTGCTCCCAACCCAGACCGGTTGGACTTCCACCACATATTTCTGAAACAAACCTAGTTCAACGCCCTCTCTCAAGATTTGTTCAAAATCAGCAATATTCCCCCTCAAATCCAGCAGACGCTACATAATCCTTGCCGCTTGCAATATTCAAGGACTGAGACCAGATTTATCCTTTCACAGACAACTGTTTCCACACCTTTTAGAGTTGCTACTTGCTCCAAAGAGGTCTCTTTTTCTGTAAAAATTATGACTTTAGCAGTTGATTTACTGGTTAGCGCAGGAATTTCTACTGGCAAATCTGGATCCATTGCTAATACAATTTGAAGAGGTTGATTGGCCCCAGGTTCTCTAGATGCAGGAAAAGATGAATTCTCCAACAACAATGTTGAAGAAAATACGATTGCATCATACTCTTGTAACAATTTTGAGTAATATCCACCAGGCTCAAGGACTGTGTTGCCCAGCTGATTTAGAACATGGCCATCAACTGACATGGAGTACCTTCAGTTTTCAACACAGTTCCATAAGAGCAAGAAATGAAGTTGACACAAATGCAAATAGTAATGCAAGTAGTAATGCAAGTTGCACTTGTACCTCAATGTAAGAAAGGGCTTCCCTGTTAGCATTTGGTGGATCCAAGCTTCAATTAGCTTCTTGCACAACTCCTCCTCAACACCAACGATCACTTCAATTCCTGCATCTCGAAGCCTATCAATACCTTTTGAAGCCACAATGGGGTTTGGGTCCACCATTCCAACTACTACCTTTTCCACTTTGGCCTTGATGAAGGCTTCAGTACATGGGGGAGTTCTCCCATAATGGTTACAAGGTTCCAGGCTTACGTATGCTGTTGCATTCTCGGCCAAATCACCAGCATCTCTAAGGGCAAAAACCTACAATGTTTTACCACCATATTAAGTATGTAGAATGAAATTTCTGCACATTGCAGTTTTAAATCTTTTACAAATCAAAGCGATGTATGATTGATCCACAGTCTTCTATCCATCAATTTATAAGCAACTCCACAGCTGCTACATGATAAGTATTATTTCCTTTGATCTTAGCTTTGCGCATTATTTTCTTGAGATAAGTTTTTTTTATTTATTTCTTTCAGTGTAAAAGACATCACTACACATAGTTTACAGCTGCACTTCCCGAAAGCCACAAAGTTAGCCTTTATTTTCAGGTTATACAAAAGAAAAAGGCAATTTCTAGGCTCTAGGGGCTAATAAAGTCGATATCAAATTGTATGCGAAGTAAAGGAGAAGAAAAGAAGATGCAAGTCACCTCAGCATGAGGCTGGCCAGCTTTAGGATGAAACCCTTCACCAACAATCTTGCCACCCTTCACAATGACGCAACCAACCATAGGGTTGGGGCTGGTGTGCCCAATTGCTTTCCTAGCCAGCTCTACACATCTCCTTATGTAAAGTCCGTCATTCTCACCCTGATGTGATCCTTCACACCTCACACCAACCAAGACTCCACCTTTACCCGAACCAATTTGTGATCCACAGACCCTTTTGACCGAATGGCAGAACCCAGTCTTCAATTTCGACTCAAAATACACTTTTCTAATTTGAATTGTTTGAGTGCAATGGGTCAAAAGATGAGTACCAGGCGAGAGATTTATGTTTGAAATTGGGAGTGTTTGCACATACATTTGTGTTGCTGACAGAATCGATTACGACAATCAAGGATTATACAAACGCACAAAGCGAATACTCATAAAGCTGCAAGACCGAGACTGTCTGAACAGAGAGCACGAGCTCTGAATTTGTGGCACATAAATGAATGACTGGGTTAAAGGGAGTGCCAATTTTGTTAAAAAGAAACGGTATCAAGAAACCTCGCAGATTTTCCTGAAGTGGGATGTGTTAGAAAAGCAACGACTATTGCATAAACAAAAGCTGCCAACACACTGTCCAGGACTGAGAAGTGTTGGGGATGACAGGTTTTGAAGATAGGAAGGACAGAGGAAGAGCAGAACTGGTATTCCTCCCTGGTTGAATTGCCAATTTCATCCCTCAACCCTTTTTTTTCAAAACTATTTTTGTCGCTTAACTCGTTTTTGAATCAAATCAGTCCCTCAACCTCCACAACCCCGGCCTATTTGGTAAACGAGTTTTTTTTGGTGTTTGACTAAAATTTTACTATAATTTATCGTATAAGTTGTAAAAAAATTTTTTTAAGTGTATAAATTTTTGAATATTTTGAAGTGTATAGTTTAAAAATTTTAAAAAAATTTTTGAAGTTACTGTAATTAAAGTTGTTAAAAAACTTGTAACAGACAAACTTAGCAAAAAAACTTACTTGTCAAGCAAGGCCGAACCCGTTTTAGATCCTTTTATAGTGGTCCGCTAAAACTTTTTGCCTTGAACAGAGAAGTCACCAGCCACAGGAGGGGTATATTTGTAACTTCAGGTAAGGCATTATATTAAAATCTAAAAAAAGGAAAAATTGCTTACGCAATAAAATTTGGGCAGCATTTGAGAGCAAGAAAACCAACGGAAAGGTAGGAATTGTTCCAAAACAGCCCAAATTTTTATCCCGCAAACAGCTCTTTTCTTCATCTTGTTTAGGGTTTTAATGCAACGTCTTGCATGAAGTTCCAAAAATACCCTCATGTAGCCGCAAATTGTAGTGGCACCACTGCAAAAGGACCTAACTGGCTGGAGAATTTTAGTTGAGGGAATGAATGTATTGGCTCAAAAACGAGTTAAGGGATGAAAATGATTGAAGTGAAGAAGTTGAAAGAGTAATTGGAGAATTGAAGGCGTGGTGGAGGACAGGGTGTGGTGTTTTAGGAGTAGGCCTTAAATGACACTTGAAGTCGTGATCGTGAACAGAGTTTGGTGTCTCCGGAGTGTGTGCCTTTAACAATTGTTGAAGGGCTGAGTATGGCTTTCTTAAGAGCACACCTTTAAATGGAAAGTGAGGCAAAAACATGTCTGAGCCCGGTTCGAACCGGGGACCTCTAGTGTGTGAGACTAGCGTGATAACCGACTACACCACCCAGACTGGCTTGCTCTCAACTAAATTTTATCATATACTTAGCAACTACTTATCAGAATTCCATTCTTGCATCGTTTAGGATTAGCACTTGTCTTGCAGCCCTATTAATAGCTAACAACATCCTCTCACCTTTCATTTAATGTAAACGTGTCACATTACATGGGTTGCATTGCAGTTCAAGATCTTCCATTAACAACTTCATTGATAGAATATTAACTAATTAAGCAATATTAGCATTCAACTTTAAACAAAATGTATATGAAAAAATATTATTATTGTCAGTTTGGACATAGTACTAGTAATAAAACAGTCTACTTAGACTCGTATGTTAGATTTTAAACATTAAGTAAGTAGACCAACACGAATAATCGCCATGTGAAATTCAAACTGTTACAAAGAGATTGCACATACAATTATACAAGCACACATAAAAGCTAGGGGTGTGCAAAATCAAAAAAATTTCGATTTACCGACCGATGAATTGAATTTTCGAAATCGGAAATTCAGAATTCGGAACTGAAATCGAGTTTTCGATTTCGAATTATGCGATTTTGGTTCGAATTTGGTAATGGGATTTTTCAAATCGGAATTCGGAATTTCTATTTTGATTTCAAATTCATTTTTCATACATACATATATATAATATATATATATATATGTAATATAACATTTATATTATAATAATAATTTTTATATTCATGAATTTGGTGATTCGTAATTCCTATTTCGATTTCAAATTCATTTTCATATATATATATATATATATATATATATTATATACATGTAATATAACATTTATATAATAATAATAATAATTTTATATTCCTAAATTCGGTGAAATCAAAATTTGCCAATTTTCGAATTGAATTCGATCGAAAATTCTGATATCAAAATTCCGATTTTGAAGTTTCGAATTATCGATTTCGATTCCGATTCACACCCCCCACGTAAAGCATAAAAATAGAACCTTTATAATGCCAAGCAGACCTTGATTCCAGGTGTAACATGTAACACAATGCCAAGCAGTCACAATATAACGATGATTACCAGTGAGTTCACATTTCCCACCAACAACGTGGTAGATGCTATGGTTTTTCGCATATTTTTTACAGGTGTGGAGTGCATCAATGCACAAAGTAAATGCATCAATACAGCATGGAAGGCAGAGCTCAGATTTAACAATGCACACTGCTAGGCTCCAGTGTCATAAAATGACACATTTGTAGCAGCTTCCCAAGGGTTTCCCGCCTTGCATATTCTCTTGGATGATCTCCAGCTGCAAAATGATCTCTTCAAATGTCGGTCTGCAATCTGGATTCTTATGCCAGCAATCTCGTAAAAGCCTGCACCAGAATTTGCCATTCCATATCAACCTAGCATCACATTGTAGCGTATCCAAACTGCAGAACATACCGTGGTCTTCATATGGTGGTCATTGTCATTTGCAACTAAGGCTGATATGCAACAGCCATAAGAAATGAGCATGAAAATGCAGTTAAGCATTTGCATCTGTTATGGTAATTGACAGGGCGTTTTGTGACAACAGAGTTGAGAAGCACTGTATGACTTGAATTAGCATAAATCTGTAGTTTGAGCAACTTTCCTATTGGCAAATGAAGTAGGGATAAGATCTGTTAAGGCAGAAAAATTCTTTTGCTTACCTGCGGATTGGTTCAGGGTATACAAATGAAGAGAGAGGTGGACGCAAATCTTCATATGCCCGCTTGTCTGCCACTTCCTCTGGAGCCTCCTCTCGACTAGATGGTCCGCCTTGGAACATCTGCAGTAAAATGATGTATGAGATTTAGAAGCACCACGACACAATTGATAGGTTCAATAGAGATAGTCTGGGCTAGCAGCAGTCTAACTAGGAATTCTTTCCTGTTATTAAACCAGTTCATGTATTTTACCTCATGAACAACCAGAGCAAAAGAAAAGACATCCACGCTTATCCCATATGTTTCTCGGCGGTACACCTCTGGAGCCATATAACGATCTGAGAAATCTTTTAATAGCTTCTCAAGCAGACATAAAAATCATGAAAATTTTGTAAATACTAGTCGGGGGCAGAGCGTACATGATCCAGTTTCCCCGGTCATTTTGTAACCAAGAGCATTTTTTTCCTGCACAATTTTGCTTAGTCCAAAGTCTGTGACTTTGAGATGTCTTGCTTCATTTTGTAGTATATTTCTGCATCGTGAACACGGTAGATACAATTATGGTCCAAAACCTTATGCAAGTAAAACAGCACCAAGAAACTTGCATCATAAACCAACCGTACATAACGTCATGCATTTCACAGATATGACAGATACATAACTATAAGTTAACTGCCAATACCTTGGGGTCAAATCTCTATGGATTATAGGATGGGGTTTATGCTGATGAAGATAATTCATGCCTCTGCAAACACAAAATGTCAGCACATTGGATAACTGATTCACTATGATTTTTCCACAAGGGCTGTATTACACAACTGTAGGATGATGTGAATAAAAAAAGCTCATTAACTTTTTCCCATCACATCATTTTTTGATCAAGTTTAATTCTTATGGGACTCTCATTAAAATTACCTTCTCTCAAATCCTTAGGAAAACTAGCATCCAGTTTACCTCCAGATTCTTCCATTTATATTAAACATGCAGTACTCCTTCATAAACTAGAATAATGGATGGAAAATATTGAAGGAAATGCAAAGCCTAATATGAATTGCAATGTGAGGCATGCCCATTAAAACTAAAAGTATTGCTGCAGAACAAAGAAGCACTATAAGCTGCAGCTGTGACCAATGGCTCAGGAGCAAATTTGAAAACATAGCATCATTTACCTTGCAATGTCTAAAGCATAAGCAACTGCTGTTGGTGGATCAAGTCTTCCTTTCTTTCTTAGGATATCGTACAAACTTCCCTGTATTGAACAAGTGAAATGTCAAGGCCCTAATATTCAGCGACATGCAGAATAGTAGGAAAATATTTTACATTTTGGAGATACTCTGTGAGGAAGGTTAAACGATCAGAATGTTTTACAACGCCAAGGAACTGCACTATATTTGGGTGGCGCAGCTTTTGCCATAACGCAAGTTCCTTGAGAAAGGTTTTCCTGTAAGCAACAGAAAAATATCAAATCGAAAAAGATGATTGGTAAAAATTTCAAGGGCAGCACAGAGCGGGAATCTTTGCTAATCATGATGGTTGTCAAGGCTCCAACCGTTAGGTGTCAAACTGCGTGAAGCAAGCTCAGTTTATCTTTCCAATTTTGCTCCTTACGATTCCAACATGCAAAAGAGAAGGATAAAAGTTTGCATTGAATGTTACCTTAAGAGATTATACTCTTTTCATTTACCAAATGAAGATGAATGCATGTAATGAAAACTTCTCTTGGATATACTAACCGAAATTGCAAGAAGAATTACTTTTAACCATGTTTATGAGTAACACAATATTTGTTTGATTTTTTTATCCCTGATACCTAAACAGCATAGGGCCAAAAAAATGATTTACAGTAGTTTGCAACTCGTAAATATCAAAATTTTCTCATTGACCAAGATAATCAGACCCAAAAGCAGATAAAGTTGGACAGGCATCAAAAGCTCTAAGGATGCAGGAAAATTAAGAACGTCAGCTGGACATAGGGAGAACACATTAGTTAAAGAAAGAAAAATTGGAACTTACTTGACCGTCTCATTTGAAGCAATAGATGAGCGAATTGTTTTTGCTGCAACTTCTGTACCACGCCATTTCACCAAATAGACTTCACCATATGCACCCTGCTTTTTCCTTTTAATTATTTTGTAACACTGAAGACAGTATATGTATCCTCAAATAAAATTTTGAGACTTCTTTTGAAAGCGGAAAATAAGAATATGCCACAGGTGGCTTTAGATTTCTCTAGCAAATAATTGAGATCACGGCAATAAGAAAAAGGAAAAGACAATATAGCTGAAAGAAATTACTTCTCCAAGGAGAGGTGCTTCAGTCATGTCAACCTCAGTGTACTCAATTTCATAACCTCGCATCTGAGAGTCAAGAGCAACCTGTCCAAAGTTTTACAGATTTCAATACTAAGATATCTGAAACATGAAGTACAAAACTTCAATGTCATTTAGCTATGTTATAGGCAATAAGGCAATAGACAATCTAATGGTATTAGGTTTACAACCAATATACAGTATTATCAGTACTCCTAGCAACTGAAACTTCGAAAGGACTGGCAGTACTGTTAGAGGCTAGCTTCCTCACTAACTCATAATGTTTTTGAGATTTTCCACTTTGTATTTGTTCTAATGGAACTTGATCATTGCACTTATTTTCCAGTTTTGCCACCAACTAAAACAGTGCGTGTATCATGAAAACTTAAAGTTATATTTGCATGTTTCTGCTCACCAAATTTTACTTTGCCAGCCTTTTCTCCTATTTAGATAAGTTTTCTCAATTCAGCTGCACAAGGAGGACGAGAACTTTTTTGAGTTAAAAAAAGGCACCATACTTACTTTGACTAGAAGAATAGATAAATCATGAAAATCACGTCAGAGGACTCATTACCGTAGAAAAAGCACCAGTATGCTCAGATTTCTAAACAACTTAAAAGCAAGCCCTTCAGATTTCAGAAGAAGGTAGAAATTAGGAAGAGAAGGGAGTAGAAAGAAAAGTTTTGCTAAATCTTTCATTCAATTTTTTTTTTCTCTTGATGCATAACAGGTCCGCTGATCAATTTGGAACTATTTGTCACATCAAAGAAGCAAAACAGCACTACAGGCTAACGGGAGATGCTCATCTTGATGCAATGAAGGTAAATCTATTGACACACACTTTAAACCTTTTTTTTTGGGCAATTCTATTGTTTCCCTCATTAAAACTTACTTCACAAGAGAAGTATGTTGAGGCTACATTACCGGATCAATTCCACCATGTTTCTCCAGTATCTTACAAATGTCTGCATGGCCAAAGCTGCGAGCATCTGACAGTGGCTGCAAATGATTTCATCACAGGCACCATGTCAATTAATTATATTGTTGAAATACATAAAACTTTTGAAGAAATAGAATTTTCTATCTGCATCAGTTTGTTAAGAATAGAAAATCAAACAGTGAATGACAGCATGAACCAGTGGCACTGGCTTAACATTCCCTCTGAATCTGGTATTAGCAATTGTGCTGAATTTGGGATCAAGGATACTTCTATAGTGGAAGAAGATAACTAAATTCATTATGGATGATAAAACAAGTTGATCTGGGATCACCAGTTGAAAAGTGGATATTATGATATAGCAGACAGCAAGAATACAAGGCAGAAGCTGGATACTGCTAGATCCAAGTTGCTATATATACATATATATATATATATATATATATATATTTCTTCTGGAAGTCCAGTATTGCTGGAAAAAGGAAGAAACCAAGAATGTCTTCTGCTGAAAAAAAAAATCATGAATGACAAAGGAAATCTGTCTTAGAGACAAGTATTCTTCTTACTGTGGAACTACAGGCTAGCTGTTGTACTTTTACAGCAGAATGTAATATGCCGAACCATGAACTTATTGTCAACAAATTTTTTTACAATGGTAGAACAGCTAGTAAATCTTTACGAGTAATAATATATGCTTTGTTTAAGATAACAAACTTCTAAGTCATTCATGAGTGACAACTTAATATAGCACATAACTAAAACATGAATTTTTACTCATAATGGTAGACAAATTCCTTTAGAATTAAAGTCATGTGGCGAACAACATCAAAACACACAGATAACGTATTGTCACTGCTCTTTCGTTAGCTAGGGAAAGGCACAGCAAAGGAAAAGGATGAAATGAGGAAGATGGATGTTATACAAGAAGTGAAGAAATTGAAATTCTGTTGTAAAATCCGCAACAGCAATGAACCACTTAATAGTAAGAGTACAACCTTTGCACACATACACACAACCAAAAAGAGAATATAAGCCAGCAGCTAATCACTGAAATAAACTATGCTATTTGTCACCCATGCAGAGCGAGAGCATGAACTTACAGTACGACCCCATCTATCAGTGGAGTTCACATCTGCTCCTCTTTCAAGAAGTAAGACAACCACCTCAATGTAACCTTCACAAGACGCTAAATGAAGTGCAGTTCTCTTATCGTAGTCTGCCAGAGTGGGTTCCACTCCTTTCTCCAGCTCCTGAACCACACCCTTTTTGTCACCCTTCGATGAGCAGTGAAGAAGGCGATATGGACTTTCTGAATCAATTCTCCTAGTTTGCTTCAGCAGCTGGAAAGATGAGGCAATAAAGTTTAAGCATTACCATATATCAGAAGTGAAATTACTGGAGTTTTTCATTGAGAAGCATGGCCTTCGCAACTGAAATATGCTAAATGTTGTGGATATCCTGTTATTTTGATACAAGAATGCTTTCTGCATACTGAATTCACAGAGAAGTTCCCAAAGGATTCAACATGGATAAGATGCACTATTTCCAGATATTCCTTCCTAGCTGACGTATGGGAAGGGCAACAATAACTCAATCTCCGTTACAAATCTTGAAATGCCATGTACAAAGGATCTCTCTAACGACCTGATCTCATGAGAATCCAAGTCCTTTTCTATTTTATCTCTTTAAGTGTTCCCTTTATTGTATGGCAATGAACAGAATAGGTTCAAGATTTCACCCCACCTCACTCTGAGCGATGATGTTTGGCTGGTTAATCAAACATAAATTACTAGCCTTAACAGAAGATTTTCAGAATCTATCTAAATTCGTCCCAACACCTACTCAGGGAAATGGCAAAGGTTCTGATTTCTGAACAAGAAACATAAACTTGCTAGTGCCATTGCCCATCACCTCTTCTGCGTAAGTTTACAGTATATCAGGCATCCAAACAATTTCAAGAATAGAAAGACCTGTTGCGTGCACCCCATAAAAAGCCAAAGCTGCAAAAAATCTTAGGAGTATAACAAAACGAAAACTACAAAGGAAACAGAATTAACATGAATTAACATTTATGTGCCCAGTTGTACGCTTCCAAGTAGTAGTAATAAACAAAAGAATAAACCGGAATATTACCGTGAGATTCAGTACCTGAGACTTGTGATATTCCATAAAAAGTGTGTGATTTTCAGACAAAAAGGAACGATCGATCCCAGTACAATGTTAACTGATATAAACGGAGAGATATATTTAAAGAGAAGTGGAAGTACACTAGTATTAGTTCAGCTCATAATAAACTTAGCTGATGATGTTGAAATGACAGTAAAGGCTCTGTTCCGGAGGCTCCCATAGAAAAAGATTTAAAAGGGTTAACACAGCCATCGAGTTCGGAGGTATCAAAGAAGCATGGTCTTGAAACTTTTCGTCCAACCTTATTGGTGCTTTCTTTTGCATGCATTTTGTCTTTCAATTGGGGGCAGTTTCGATTTAAGCAATGCTAACTGGACAGTGGAGACGGATATTATCGTATAGACTAAGCTCCTATGCTTAGGCTTTTCGGTAAAAGTCCTGAAATATGTGGCTAATCCGAGATGCGAAGTCCTATATTCTTTCTTTCTTTCAGAAAAAGGCAAAAAAGTCCTAGATTCTCTCTAATCCGAGATGTGAAGTCCTAGATTCTTTCCTTCGTTCAAAAAAAAAAATTTTTTCTAGATTCTGACCCTCAGCTATTCCAATATTAGAGTCATTTTTTAGAAATAAATAATTATGTAAGTTGATATTACTGAATTTACATATATATCTTTTAAATTTAAAATATTTGCTTGATAAATGTGCATTGAAATTTTAAAATGTTACTTTTTCAAATGGCAAAATTAGAAAGCACATGTTAAATTTGGAGTGGTGATTCTTGTTTCGAAACATCAATAAAATAAAAACACATCATTAACAATGGAACTAAGGGAATAGTTGATTTATAAAATATATACAACTCTTGTAATTTTCTTTTTCTAGAGTTTGAGGAGAAAGTTTTGGCCTATTTTATTTTAGCCATGGGGAAAAGATGTAAACATTTGATATTGTAATTCACACAGACACTTCTAAGATGTCATTTTATTTTTGTCAAATTTTTATGCACCTTTGACTTTATTAAGCAATTCGCATTGGATGATATCCAACAAATTCAATAATATAATTATCTTTTTTATCACACAAAGATATATGCAAGTTAGCTAGGACAAGTTGAGCAATGGAAGCAAAAAAGAGGAAGAGATTCACACTCTCAGTTAAATATATACACAAGTGTTGAAGTATAGTATAATTGACAAGATGTTTGGAAATATCAGTTTCAAATAGTATTTTATTTACGTCATAATTATAATTTTCAATCAATTATTTATTCTTTCAATAATATTTTTATTTAACATACATTACAGCACACACATCCCATCATAACAGTAATTATATCCAAACACAATAACAAAAAAAAAAAAACCGACAATATTGTTTGGATACAAAACTTATCCCAAATCATATTTCGCTTGCATCATAAACACATTTTCCAACCCACCTTTTTATCTCACATACATCACATCACAAAAAGTGCTACAGTAATTATTCCAAATAATATTTCAAATAATACCCTATCCAAACAAACCACAACATGAAGACCACCTGCACAAAATTTTAGTACCCCATCAAATTGGGGTGGCTACACAATAATGTTGTGCGCCTAAAGCTTAATGTTACTATATAGTACTAATTTCACTGTTCATTAAAACATAAATATTCTTTAATAAATGTTTTAAAAATTGTATATGGAGATGGATTGACTCACAAATTTGCTTTTAGGGTGGATTTGATAAGATTGAAGTTTGAAAGCTGAAATCTGAATCTATTAAATTATTGAATTGTTAAATGTTAAATCAAACGCATTTAAGTTTATATCACATTCACTGATAAGTGAATAATTTATTACTTATTTTTCGGAACAAGTTTTATCTAGAAAATTTAGTGTGTGTTTGGATTGTATTTTTCATGAATTTTTCGTTGAAAAATTACTGTAGCGATTTGATGTATGTGAGGTAAAAAGGTGATAGGGAAATGTGTTCACGGAAAACAAGGCTATTTTTCGGTGAAAAATGGCTATCCAAACAAGCCATAATTAGTGTCACTTAATCAATTCAAACATTTAATTTTTGATTATCAAACACGTTCCGAATATATTAAAACCTGATTCTATTAAATTTAAATATTGAATTGATTTATCAAACGGGACTTGGTGTACACATAGAATTGGATCCATGCATTTATTATGGACGTAGGGGATGCGATCACCAAAATAGCAGTGGAGTATTTACTATTTAGGACTCAGAAATGTCAATCAAGCCGAAGGCGTGTCAAATTCGATACTTTCATCTGTTAGCGCCCTTTTCTTTTTGCTTCTAAACCCTTGATCAAATCCAAAATTATAATTACTTCAAATTGTTCTTTATTTTTTTTTGGCCAAAAGAGCAATTCCAGTTCCATGCAGTCGCTTCGTGCCCATTACTTATTCAAAATTGCGCAATTAGACCACCGGTCCATAATTCACTTCAAAGTTTCAAAATTTCACGTCTATCCTTCCCACTTCGCAGCTCCTCTCCCTCCTCTCTCGCACACGGGAAGAAATGGCGAGCCAGGGACAAACCCAAGAAGCCCTACAGCACAATGACTTCGGATTGCACCAAGAGGAAGGGGAAGGTGAAGGTGAAGGTGAAGGCGAAGAAGAAGACGAATTGGAAAAGCTAGAAGCAGAAGTAAACGAAATGGCCCAGGAAATACTCAACTACAGAACCACACTCCCGGGCCAGCTCAAGTCCGCGCTTTCCTCAATTCTCGCTGCTCAGAGGCCTGTTCTCCCGACCCATTTCGACTCCGGACCCGAATCTCAACCCGGACCCACTCATGACCCTAACCCCGGTACATTTTCGCGGCTCTTTCGTTACCCTCAGTTGTTGTTTCTTACATAACCCAAAGAATTGTAATTTTGATTCTTTTCCCTTTTTGCTCATAGTCAATTTTTTTATAGTCGAGTGATTTTTGTGTTTGCAGTTGTTAGCTGACGATGCTGATGAAAAGGGTTCAAGATGCTTTTTTCATTTTGGGATTTTTTTTCTTTCGATTGCTGTTTGGGGTCTTCTTTGTTTCTAATGATTAGCCTGTTGGAAGTAGCGTATATTGGTAGTTTAGTTGATGTCTGGCTCTGCCACTCTCTGTTATGCGTCTGTTCTATTAAAGATGAGTTTTTAAATAAGAATTCCTTTTTGTGCCACTGACTTCAAATGGTATAGTTTGTAGGTAATTACAGGGTTACACAGTTTTAGTTGAAAGATTATTGATGGAGAATATTTTGGGAAGAATTGGTTAGTTCTTGATTTTATGTGAGGAAGAAATTGAAATGTCTCTGTACTGCACGTGTCAGAAACCTTGAAGGTGGAGTTTTTAAAGGAATCTTGGAATGCCAAAACTTCTCCATTTGTTAGTTTTTTATCCTTAACTAATCCGTTGAGGAAATTGGAAATGAAAGTGTTTGTTGATGAAATTTGAAAGTTGTAGTTATTTGCAGCTTCTTTCACCTTTTGCCCTTCTTAGCGGATGGACTTTTGGCATGGATTGATTTCTAGTTGAGACGTGGAATATCGTTCTCTGAAGAAAAAGTACTGGTTAAGTGTGAGATTATGGACATTACAAACTTGTATGTTCAATGTGGATGAATTTCTCTTGATTATCTTCTGTATTCATTTTCTGGTCTCGATTTAGCTTCTAGTTTTCTTGAACCCTTGTTTAACTTGTTGAACATACAAATATTCTTTTGATGGATCAAAGCGAGTATATATGCAAGGCTATTGGCTTGGTGTTCATTGGATCTAAATTAGAATCAGTAACTTTGTTACCAACCAGGACTGCCCTAAGTTGATGATTAAATTAATGAAGAGTTCAAATTAGAGACCCACTGAATATTACATTCTTTTCCTATACATTCCGTCTTTTGTCTCACCCCCCTTTAGATGGAGGTGTTCCTCTTCTTTTATTTGCCTTTTTTTTTTTAATTTCCTTGCATTCTTTTGATTCAGAACTTTTCATATATATTCGTACAATCAGCACATGTAGAGAAACAAATTACTTTAAAAAATATATATATGGTTTAAGTTTGAAAAAACGACTTGGTTAAGGTTGACTTTTTCGCAGTATACCCATTGAGCTTTGCAATAACCTAAATTCGCTTTTTTGGTGGGTTTGCATCTGTATACACAATAATTTCCTAGATCATTTCTCTTCAAAGGCATTTGATGTCATTGAGATCCTCCACATTGATACAAGTTTTCTGTGACTTCCTGCAGACTGAAGTCTCCTTTGCTCTATGTAGTTGTGCATCTCACCCTCTTCTTTTGTGTAGATGTGGTCAGACCTATTGGGTCGGGTAATGAGGCCTTGTTAACAGGAGAGAGTCAGGAAACCGAGAAGATAAGGCTTCTCAAACAGAAGATTTCAAATAATGCTTCTATGATGCCGGTTGTCTTGAAGAGGATGAAGGATTGTATGGCAAGAATTGATAACCTGGACTCGTGTAATGGAATTATCATCCATCCTGCCTTCAAAAGGAAAAGGAGCAGCTGATCAACTTCTTTTTGCAATTTGTCATTTTGGTTATAGTCTCTGTTTGAAGAGGATTTGTGTTTTCTGCTTTGACAACTTCTTGCTGAGTTCAACAGCTAGTCACCAGCAAAGAAGAGAGACTTGTTAACCTCGAGACATTAGGTTTAGTAATGATTGTCCTGTTGTAATTATATAGAATTGATTGAATATGTAACATGATCTAGGTTCAGCAGATGATAATGGAGATCCAGAGGTCCGTGTATGGAGATTGCCAATCCCTTGGTTAGTTTGTGCTATATACACTGCAGAAATATTTTCAGAGTAAGTGGTCCAAAAGATTATTGTTGTACAAAAGAAAAGATAGTTCATGCTTGCACAGTCGGTCCTGCAAATATTTTGAGAACTCTAACCTTCTGCTGCTCTATTTTCATGTTTATTGTTACTGTAGGATTGTAAGCTTTGCATTTCAACTCTTGTTTCGGGTGCACATAAGTAATTTTTGCACTGATTGCGTGGAAAATGAGCATAATTCTGCAGTTTCATTTTTGGCATGGCTGTTTCATAAAATAATGACAGGATGTTACTACTTGCGGTTAAATTGGCAAAATTTTCTGCAGGAAAGGATCATATTTAGACAGTACTACCAAAATTGAAACCGTCTTGAGTGTTATTACTCTAAAAATAAAGCAGTAGATAGAACAGTGACTTCATACCCAAAGCAGTAGAAAGATCAAACAATTCCCTAAAGTTTGCAAAAATAATTCCTTAAAGGAAAGTCCCACCTGGATGTATATTTTTTTTTGAAGGAGATGCATAGAACTTAAAGAAAGGGAAAGCACCATAAAATATGGGAAGAAAAGAGATGTTAACTATCCGCATATGCTGGAAGTCAGTTTCTTTGAGTTCTAGACTGCAATAGATCTACAATTTATCACTTCTAAGTCAGAATTTAACCCTCGAAACGACGAGCTCAACATTATTCCATCCATTTTTCCAGCATTTTTAGTAGAAAACACCATGGTGCTAAGCCCCTTGCCAATAATTAATATGTCCTCCCCAATTGCTACGAGCCGGCACGGTGGCCTCGTCCATTTAGATGAAAATCTCCTGACAGAGATCCATTGTCTGGTATCCTTCTGCCACATTATCAACTGGGTTCCTGAAGTCTGGTTCAAGACATAAAGAGTCCCATTCACAACGATAGCAGGACCCCGCCAGCCCATGACCATATCTGGAGCAGCCTGTTCCCATGTACCACTTGATGGTTCATAAGCAAGAGCATATACATGCGAAGATACAGCAGACGAACCACAACGAACATAGATTTTCCCATCCAAGACTACTGAATCTTCAATATCATCAAGAACATTAGGGTCCACATGCGAATTCCAACAATTTGTCTGAGGATCATAAGCATCCAAGGACTGCAGATTGCTTGATCCAGGATCTGAACCACCAATGGCAAAGATTTTGTTATCCACAGCTTGGCAGGCAAAATAGCACCTGAAAATCACCCAACAGATTAATGCCTAGATCAGTATCTCATCATAACAGGTTGCAATCAAACTACAACCACCATGGAACATGTCATGGAACTTCCATATTTCAACATTTCACAACTTCCGGCAAACAAAAGGCAAGAGAAAAAGACATAAACTGGTTCATATAGACAGAGCACTCAGAAGAGTTAACAAGCATTTTAATCGATCAAAAGTTGGCTCCACAAGCAGAAAGAAGAAAACTAAAGCAAAATCATATAGAGATTTTGTCAACTAATGAGTCCAAAGGAAGGGGGAAAAAATATCTAGAAATACTAAAACTTTACTCGGCAAGGAAAAGTTATTTGTTAATTAACTTGATATCACCAATCATCATAAAAAGTGGCATAATTAGCAAGATTACATGCCTATATCAATACCTTGTAACTGGCAAGCGAGCAGCTTCACTCCAACAGTTCGTACCAGCATCATAGCAATAGGCTTCATTGGTAGCATCTTCAATATAACCGCAGCCACCAATGAGGTAAACTCTCTTTCCCAACACTTCGAAGCCCATGCCTCTTCTCCTTTTACAACAACCAGGAAGGCCTTGGATGCGCTTCCACCCACTTAGTAACCGATTGGGGTCTAAAACATAACAGCCAAGGTGGTCTAACTCATCTTTGCACAAAGCATAAATCCATGTCTCCTCCAGGTGATGCTTTTTCCGGTATAAATACCACTCTTCACTAGAAACTAAATCTCTCCATCGCTTTGAAACACATTTCAGGACTGCATGATACTTCCTAGGAACCCTTGCCAAGCAGAAAAAGGTAATATCATCAGGAAGCCCAGGTATCAGTGATGACTGCACTGGATCGTATTGCCTGACACCATCATACCAACCATCACTAATTTCAGTTGAAGTGCTACTATCTGAATCTGATTCCATAGAACTAAAAACGTTCAACTCGACCTAGGACACATCCTGGTACAATGACACAAAAGCAACCCCTGCCAAGGAATCGCAGCATTCCATTAAGTGCATAATTAGTTAATGCATGCAGACAACATATACAAGGCTAATTTAAACCACAGATCTATCCTTTAAAAGATCGACACAGTGAACCATGATAACACGACCATAAGGAAAGGAAACACAATAAATCATGTGGAGTATTATCTAAATCATAACTAAACGACAGACTCGCAACTTCAAAAATTTCCCAGGACAGGTAGACTAGATTAGTTAGCCCCTTGGGCAGGTTGCTTTTCATAGAGTAGTTTCCTTTCTTTGCTCCAGGAAGGAAATTTGCCTTATCAGATATTAACCTTCTGAAAACCAAAAAGAAGTCATTATCCCCAGCCCACATTATCATCAATCAGCAAATAGATCACTTAGAAGTATAAAAGTTACCTAGGCCCATTATACCAATTAAATACAATGCTTTATTCTGCATGTAGGATCCAAAGCTTATAAATACATACTCACTGAACATCAAAAGGTTCAAAAATTGGAAAAGAAAACAGGAAGAAAACAACCACCCAATTGAGATTCAATCAGATACTTTCTCTGCTTCCAATTCTAGAAACCAAATTCATGCAGATAAAGCTTAGCATATGGACCACCTAGCAATCAATTACTCCAGAAAAAAAAGCCACGATACACGGCAGAAAGAAGACAGGCCACCAAACAAAAGTAAAAATCACCAACCTTGAACTGGCATCTTGCACAAATTTATCCAACGACAACGGAATAAAGAAATAATTTGGAAAAGTTACAAACTTTTCTCGTCTCATAACTTCAACAATTGAAAAAACAATTCCCGATTCCTAACATCACAGGTTACAAGAATTCAAAACCAAGCAACCTTTTTGAGATCCAAACATACAAATCACATAAACTGTAGGAAACAAAATAGATTCAAAAACATGCATTCTAGATAAATTGTTCTAGCAATCAAAGTCCACCCCACATAATAAAAGAAACCCCAAAAAAAAAAAAAGGGTAACATAGATAGGAGCTGACCTTCGGGAGAAGTTGGGCAGTAAAGAAAACTTTTAGCAGAGAGGGCAGTGGGATTAAATAACGAATTGAGAGCAAAACTAAATTAGGTAATTGGCGAAGATTGGAATGATTGATTGTTCGAATATTCGTTTGAGATTAGCTTTCCTTGTGTTTTTCTATAATCTACAATGGCCAATGCAAGCAAGAAAACATCCTATTATTAGTCTGATGCAAAGTTATTGCTTTAAACATGTTGAAGACATTTAGCGACTTTTAGGACACGTTTTCGTTATTTAATTATTTTAACTGATCATAAATTCTAATTTTACGTAATTAATTTTTTAACGTTCTCTATTCGATTATTTTGATCATAGATTTATAATGATCGAAAAATTAAAATCTCAAAAAATAGCTTTTGCTGATTCTGACTATTCTCCATAATTAGCTTTTACAATCTTTTTTTTTTTCGACGCAGGGGTGTCCGGGTCAATCCTTACGGGGTCCGACTAATCCCCTGCGACTCAAGCCCGACGCCCCAACCCGACCCTAGCAAATTAGCTTTTACAATCAAGTTTTGTAAAATCTAAACCAACCAAAGAGCAATGCCTCGTAAAAAATGGGAATTATAATTTTGAATTGAAACCGTTCTTTTGATTTTATCGTTTACTAATTCTTATTTTGAAATGGCTAATGGCCACAATAAGTTCTATTATTTAGGTAGTTCAAAAACAAAAAGAAAACGAAATTTGGAAAGAAGTTTTTTTTTATTTTTTTATAATTGGTTACAAGTGAAAAAAGAAAAGATAAGGATTAAGACTGGTGAGAAGAGGCTTTGATTGATAGATATTGAGTTATATATATGTCATGTCAACCATATGGACTCTTACTTGTAGCACAAAATAGAAGTCTTTACTAGTTCTTTATCAGAAAATTTTGTTTGAATTGTTCTTTCTGGAGTGTCTTTTGAAAAAAAAAAATAATAATAATAGTGTCACATTTTCTTTAGAATGTGATTTGTGTGAGGTTAAAACGTGATTGAAAAATATATATATATAAAGAAAATATTTACGAAAAATGAAAAACTTTTGTAATTAAAAAATAGCAATCCATGCAGCAGCCAAGAGCCTAAACATGTTTCACTAATGGCGTTCGACCAAATTTTGAAGTAACTTAGAACAAGAAGAACTCAAGAGCCTTTGGCTAAGAATCTGAACTCCCACGCAAAAGCCAGCCTAGGCTCCAAGCAAAGGAAAAAACGAATTTGCCCAGGTCAAAGAGAGGCAAAAACCTTACCTAGTCCAGGTGGAGCCTGCAAATGACACACTAATTTTTGCTTGTCAGCCCCATATTGCATTGCATTTAAGAAAAATCAACGCTCATAATTATCGTGTAGCCTGTCATGTTGAATTTTAAGACCTTATTGATGGCCGAAAGCCCAAAGGAGATAGAAAAATGATAGAGAGGTTCAGGTGTAATTGAATAGTAACTACTTAATAAGAAGAACAAAAATTTCAAGCATCATGATTAGAACTGCGGCAAAATGTGCTACTTGGAAAATACAGACAGAGCCTCCATTGCCAATAAAATGCAGCTTACAAAATGAGCTCCCTCCATCAGCCTACTCAGAGCTGCTCTGTGCAGAAGTAGAACACGACTACGAAGAGGTATGCTCAAATTCAAGGCCCCTCACCAACCCATCAAGCAATGGGAACCTCTAAAGATACAAATGGTACCTTCTGCAAAACCAGGAACTACAAAAAAGCTTTGCCTGTTAAGCTCCTGCTTCTTGAGGAAGCTTTAAAATCTGCTTGCTTTGCAGATAAATCTTCCTTCGGGACTACCACATACACTAGTACTTCAATTATGAAACAAACAGTCTCCAGAGCCTGAACTCTAGCACGCCACTTTTTATTGTAAAATACAGAACCTCGCATGGTTCTTGAAGACTTTTTTTTACTGAACGAACAACCAGTTATTATTAATAAGTTTATTCTGTAAATTCACAAGTAATAAAAGACACCAGTACAGAGCCACGAGGCGAAAGAGTGAGAGGATCGACTAGGTGTTTCAACGTCTGGTACTTCAAATATCCAGTCCTTATTTGACATTTTCCTGCAGCTCCGCTGTTATGTCCCTTGAAATGTTGAGAGTTGACATGCATAACATAAAAACAAGTACGACGTCTGGAGATGTGGGACTGCATTAAAGCTTCGACTTGATAGCAGATTTTGGAGTTTTGGCGGCCCCCCTTAATAACCCCTCTTGTGTCAAGGATACAGCCAACTGGTAGATTACGAGTTAGAGAATAGCATGCAACTAAGGAAAAAGATGGGGAGTAATTCCAAATAATAGTTCTGAAACGATAAAACGAAAGGGAGAACTATGGTATGAACGCCAAGTGATTTACCTTTCCATCTCTGGTAAACATCTGGCCGGAAACAAAGCCACGTGCATTATAAGCGTTAGGGCTTTGGATCTGCACAGAATAAATGAAATACAAGACCTATGATCTAGGAAGCAAGACAAAAAAGTAACTAAACCGTAAATGTTCAGGCATAGAGGGACCAAATTGTATTGACATTTTCTGATACTTACAACAAACAATAACCAATCATCAGCTCTAAAAGGTCTGTGAAACCACATCCTGGAAAATAAAGCAGAATGCGAAGACATTATATGAGTACTCAAAATTTCTTCCACAGCAAACAAAAAGAGAGACATTTTTTTTCTGTGCATATGTGTGATTAGCCATCTTTTTAATAACAAAATTTCAAGAACTTTCACAACATTTTCTTGTCCACCAAAATGATTCCTCTGTTAACCTTGTCTAAAAGTTGATATTTTCCCATAAAGCACCATTCAGAAACATTCTTACAAGTTCAATAGAGAATTAACTCAACCAGGAATCATGGCACCTAGGTAACTTTTTCATGTTACAGGGCAAGAACAAAAAATCTCTGTTCTATAACTGCAATATTAATATTGTCTTGTACCAAAGATAGGCAAGAAGACCGAGGTCATCAAGACCAGCTCTTTCTCTTTCTAAAGCAAACAAAATGGAACTAAACTAGTACCATGTTAGTAAAATCCTTTCTGCTGGGTACCTCAGAAGGCAATTATTTAGCTTTTTTAATTCCTATAGGGCAATGCGGCAGTGGAGTTGTAGGAATCTTTTCACCAAGGAGGGCATGCTAGAATTAGGACAATACACCAATATGGCAAATTAATTTTCAAAAGATTGAATAGACCTTTTTTTTGTTCTCCAAGATATTAAATTTAATCATCCTTGAACAGTAAGATTCCTAAATAAATCCCTACAGAGAATTAGGAAATGGATCACTTTAATTTACTTAAACATCCAAACCTGACCTAGCATTATCTGTTCTTCTCCAGACAAACTAAAACAGTGTTTAATCCTTCTTCTAGGAACAGTTTCTGAAACTAAAAACAACTTGACATTTATGATACTAAGCTGGTCAGACAAGGCTAGCCTTATATTTAAATAAAGCTGAGAGTAAAGTATATTTGCATTTCTAAAAGCAGTCATACTGTAAAAGGACATGGATACTCACGAATGGTCCAGACTAATAGCAGTCATACTGTAAAAGGACATGGATACTCACGAATGGTCCAGACTAATAGCTGTTGTCTTCAAACCCCTTTCACGATGAGGATTTAGACTCACATTGAGAAATATAAGATCCGATGCATAGGCAGCTACACATCTGTGCTCCAAACAAACCACAGGATAACATAAGAAACATCTCATTCAAGTGAAACTGAGAACATTCTAGAAACTAAATTTGGAAACACTAAACAGACGCTATCTGAAAAACATTTTTAGTAATCAAACTTAACCTGTTCCCAAAATCTAATGTTGGTGGGAGTTTTGTGCTTTGTCCCAAATAAAAATGAAGTGCTATGAAGAATTTTCTTACCGATGCAGACCCTGGTCATCTGAAAGTCTTCCTCTTGCTCTAAACCAGTACTTCAAACTGCAGTACACAGTTAAAAAGGATCAAAACAACCTCGTATGAATGTCCAAGTATTACCATCATAACTTGATTCTCTGCTTTCTGTTTTTCTCATCACTTGTTTAGATATTAAAAAACAGAAAAAGAAGGAACTTGGGATTAACCTTGGAGGAGACCTGTCTTGGTTGGTGTTAGTGTTTGGCTCGCAAAACCGAATCTCTATTGGCCAAGGTGTAAACGTCGATGTCGCAACCTTGTTCCGGTAAGTCCTGCAACTATGTATATTATGGTCTTCTGAATTTGATTATTAACCATGCAGCAAGCAGTTTTTATATGCAATATCATTATAGTGACTTGTATGTGATATTCAGAGAAAAAAATTATTCTGATAAAATGACAAACAGTAATAGTCATCACACAATTCTTTGAAGATACCAACTCACACAATTCCCACAACTGGAGACCAGCTGAGAAATATAAGTCCTCAACTCAGTGATAGATGCCTGTAATCTTCTTATGTAAAACTGAAGCAACTTTAAAACTACCCAGAGTTTTATCACCAGGTACATTTAGAAACCACTATCTTTGGGAAGTGTAATTGAAGAGATAAATCTGACCTTGGAGGCGGGGATCAGTTAGACGCCTCTCTCGTAACTCTTCCATTGATAAAAGCTGCATCAAGTTGGAGTTACACACCAAAAGGGAAATATTAAAGAAACTGAAAAATATAAGTGTATCTTAGCTTACCACATCTGGATCGGGAACAGAAGGCATTTCTGCTTCCTGGTGGTCAAAGCCTTCTTGTTCTTTCTGTACAATGTTTGAGATAGTACAGCATTCATACATTCACTTGAAAGAAAAGAAGAAGAAGAAGATGATACATGCAAAGAATTTAACTAGTTCAAACATAAACATTGTGCACAATTATTTTTGAGTAATAGGTTAGAACCCTGGAAGCCAAAATTAGACTCATACTATTTCCCCATTTTCTTTTACAAATAAGATACCAGTATTATCACAATAAGCATTCCATTTAAAACAGATATTCTTACAAGTTCAGCAAAAAAAGTTCATCCAATACTTTATGCCTGTAGCAATTACCTGCCAACTCCAAGAAAATCTATAAAACAACATTTAGTGCTATATAATCCATGAAGATGTTTCTAAGCTTGGAAATCCACTAACGCTAAAGCAGTACTCTCCGTTTGCCAAAAAACAATCTCTAGTAGTACTAATACATCATAATACTATAGTCCATAAAAATATAAATTTTAAAAATAAAAAGATATTTATAAAGAAATGCAGTTGACTAATTTTACTCTATATGTTCAAACTGATTTTTTATGAACTTTATATTTTTTTCCAACCTCTTCTCAATTCATGCCCAAACCTTTAAATTGTACTGATTATTATAAAAAGCAACTCAAAATAAGCAAATAATTCGTACCCCACTTTATCACAATCATACAAGGTAAAAGATAAACAAAATTCAATTTATTATAATTTACAAATAAAAAATTACATAGTCATTCGAAAAATGAATAAAAGAGAATGTTAGAGAAAAAGGAAAGAGAAGAAAATATCTTTTGTTTCTTTTCTTTTTAATTTTTGAGCTCCATTCATTTGATATGTAAATTATGTATTGAGTGAGGGTTAATATAATTTTTTTGCAATTATTAGAGGGGGGTAAGTGACATTTTTAAAACCTTAAAGATACCCAGTGATATTAAGAGAAACCTCCCTTGAGAACAAGGGAGGTTTCTGATATTATCCCTTAACTAGTTAAGACTATACCCTGACATTTACAAAGCTACCCTTCCAAATCTTGCTTCCCCTTTGTTCCAGACGCCTCATTCCAGTTGCTTGTTCTTTAAATTTTTTACAGTTTCTGCTCAATCGCATGTCCCATAATCATTTCAAAATTTGCAGTCAATGAGTGGCAATTAACACAACCCCCGCACCCAAGCCAATATATGCTACAGTACAACTAATCTGTATATATATATATATATGAGCTAGCTGGGATCTATCATCGTCTACAGAGTTAAGAGTTACAGGTAGTAGCAGTGGTGATATGGATTCTTCGTCAAGAGCAATCGACAATGTTGTTGTTGAAGCAGGGCTAGATGAGCAAGAAGAGCAACACTTCTCGTACGCGATGCAACTGGTCACCTCTGTATCTTTGCCCATGGTGCTGCTGGCTGCCATCCGGCTCGATGTGTTGGAGGTCATTGCCCAAGCGGGTCCAGGTGCCCAATTGTCGCCTTGGGACATTGCAGCCCAGGTGTGTCCTAAAAACCCTGATGCGGCTGCTATGCTGGATAGGATGCTGCAGCTCCTGGCTAGCTACTCGGTGCTCACCTGTTCTGTTGCCGAGGCGGATGCTAGTATCAGTAGCCAAAGAAGAGTGTATGGATTGGCACCGGTGGCCAAATACTTTGTGCAGAACAAAACATATGGAGCAGGAGGAGGAGGAGTTTCACTAGGCCCCCTGCTTGCCTTGTTTCAAGATAAGGTCTTCATTGACAGTTGGTCAGTGTTTTGACTTCTACTGCTTCTGTTTGCTTCTACTTCTATTACTCTCAATTAAGCTTTCGTACACTCCTAATTAAATACGTAAAAATTCATTGCACTGTTTACTGGAAGACCGAGTACCTGGTCAGAATTTGTGTCCTAAAATGGTTCCAGAACCTTTCTTTTCGAAACCAACCTTTCCAATTCAACAGTTATTCATGCCCCTTTACGGGAAAGCACAAGTCCTTGGATTTGCAAATGCTACCTTCAAGTCTGAGCATAATTTGGCTGTATATTATGTTTCTAAAGTCCCACCTCTGTAGTCCGTCAAATTTCTGTTTTTGTGTGGATAATAAGTATCAATTGCTTTTATTCATAGCATATATAAGGTAAGGGTAGTTTGGTTTGTACAAAAATCTTCATCAAATCCGCCTAATTTAGGTACCAATTAGAAGATGCAGTTCGTGAAGGAGGAGTTCCGTTTGATAGGGCATATGGTGTACGTGCATTTGAATACCCTGGTAGAGACCCCAGATTCAATGAGGTCTTCAACAAGGCAATGATCAACCACGCAACTATTGCCATTAACAGAATTGTTGAACGCTACAAAGGCTTTGAGCACCTCAAAACTTTGGTAGATGTTGGCGGTGGTCTTGGAGTTACCCTCAGTGTGATCACAACTAAATACCCAAGTCTCAAAGGGATTAATTTTGATTTGCCACATGTTATTCAACATGCACCGGTCTATCCTGGTATAATTCTGTCCTTTCTCTCGAAATCATGCTTAGTTTGATCAGTAGATAGCACGCAAAGAATGAAGAAGAAAACGGGTGCCAATACTTATTTCATAAACTTCATTAAGATGCAAAATATGCTTAGGAATTAGCGGCATAGTTTTGTGGAATAGAGACATTATCGCTTTGTTCTCTATCTTAAACCTTATTGTTGGGTAAAGAAACTTGCATATGTCATATGGGGCTGATTACCTTATCTGCAGTCCCTATATGCAGAATTGTTTAAAAAGCATAATGTCTTTCATATCGCATAATATTCTTTCATAGTGGTCTTCTAGCTTCTATTCTTATTGAGGTGAATTTTACAGGGGTAGAACATGTTGGCGGTGACATGTTTGTAAGTGTTCCACAAGGAGATGCCATTTTTATGAAGGTAAGTTGAACTCTTGAGGAATTCTTGTTAGTACTAATGAGTTACCAGTCGCAACAATTAAGCATACAATACTTATTTAAGAAATGGTCCCTCTGAACAATATATTATGCCGATCTTCTCAAACTAATTATCTACCCAATTCGTAATTCGAGTTGCTTTTTTTACACCTTTAAAATGATTCTGAAGTGTCCTCTGTAAGATATGGACCACAGTATAATTATTACGTTCTTAATTGTTCTCTTCTTTCTTATGATCACATGAATGCTTTTGTAGTGGATACTTCATTTTTGGGATGATGGTCGTTGCTTGAAGTTGCTAAAGAACTGTTTCAAGGCTCTACCGGATGATGGAAAGGTAATAGTCGTAGATCCAATTCTTCCTGTGGTTCCTGATACTAGTGCAGGCATCAAAGCCACTTGCCAATCTGATCTAATAACCATGACTCAAAACCCTGGAGGAAAAGAGAGATCTGAAGCAGAGTTTCTTGATTTGGCTACTGCAGCAGGATTTAGAGGTATAAGGGTAGTATGTTTTGTGTGTAACGTGTGGGTCATGGAGTTCTACAAGTAGATGGCTGGTTCATGGTGCATTGTACTCTTATCTTCATTAATTTTAGATGGTGAAATGTATTTTGGTGTCATTTGTAACCCACCAACCAACCAATTCTCTATAACTGTGCCAAAAAAATGAGCATCTTCATGGCAAACTGAAATGTTCTACAACAACGTAAATTCATGCATACGATGGTTGTATCAGCTTGATTATTGCTTGAGCTTGGCTGTTAGAGTTCATCTACTAATGTATGCATTTCACTCCCTGAACACATGAAAGGAAATTGGTTTTGACTCGAGGTTAGAGTTGCTGAGATACCAATAGTCTTTATGTTCAGTTTCAAAGCTCAATAGGTTACATGATTGAAGAATAGGTTACATGATTGAAGAATAGGTTACATGATTGAAGAGTGAAAGACAAAGAAAAGCAAGATGACACATACGATATACAGCAAGATAGTACGAGGGATTATGGATTTTGAACATTCGCTTGATTGGCAGCAATCTAGTCCATGCACTTTTAGCTGGTCCTCGCAGTTTTCTTCCTTCGCTCATTTAAATTAGAGCTTCCATTAAAAGGGAATTTGCAGACGTATGTTGCAGGAAAATGAGTGTGGGAACAAGTGCAATCAAAGACGAATGGGGCAGGTTAATCTTAGTTCTGTTGCTACTTGCCATTATGCTAGACATTAATTATATCTGCTAATTTGTAAGCGATCACTCAAGCTGATGATTGATCCCCCAAAAAAAAAAAAAAAACAAAAAAAACAAAAGTGAGGGAATTCAGGCTGGAAATGCTTAATCTAGGAAGAGTGGTGCGTAAAGAATCACACTTGGACCAATTCCCACAAGCAATGGAAGCCTGTTAATTGCCTGGAACAAGCATCCAAGAACTTTGAAGTAAGATAACAACATAATATAGACAAAATCAGCAGGCCATGTAACATGTAAATAAGGAGAAAGCCTCACGGCTTCTTGGATTGAAATGACAATTTCCGGGAAGCTCAGTGCTTGCGAGTGTTCTAAGTGGTCATCGTCCGAGTTTAAGCAGAAGCAGGGAGCTTCTTTTGTATTTTGCACAATAATCAATTGCACCTTCACTAGTAAACCAACATCAAAATTAGAAAAAAAAAAAAAAAGGGTAACAACAACTTCAAAAACATGTGAGGCGATATTCCATTGGGCTGCACGTTAAAAAAACCACCTTGAAAAATTTGAGCATATTTTTGTACGCGATGAAAGGAAGTTATTTTAATTTTACTAATTTGGCAAATTTTTTTTTACCCTACATCTCAGAAAAACCATTCACATCAGAAATCTAGAACTGAAAATTTTTGTTATTTCTAAACCAGAAAAAAAAAACAAAGAATTTAAAATGCAGAAAGTGAGGCAATTCTTGAATCATGGATTCCATAGCCGTTGGATCATTAATAAATCCACATGGGCCACATGCAAATAAGCATAACTGTCTGCTAAAGTAATAATCCTTCACCTCTCCTGTCTCCAGCCCAAGTTAAAAATCTTTTTAAAAGCAAGTCACCGAACCGGGCGAGTTTTTATCTAATATCAAACCGGCTCTCAAACGAGCTTAGACCGCTTCAGGTCGTTTATTTATATGTATATATATATACTCCGCCACCCTGCCCGGCAAAGAATTCATCGGATCATAATCTCTCAGACAGAGTGGTGGCAAGCGTGGTCTGATTCCACCCATTTCTGATCTTTTTGGTCTCTTTTGGTCTGTCTTTCTTCAAATTCTCTTTGATCCAAAGATGCCGCGGGGAACCCTTGAAGTTCTTCTTGTTAGCGCCAAGGGCCTCGAAAACACTGATCTCCTGTGTACGTTACTGCAACCACGCAAGACAATGTGCTTTTTAATTCTTTTCTGGTTCATCTTGTTAATTGGTTTAATGTGCTTGCATTTTGTACTTTATTGTTTTGAGTGAAAATTTGGGTGGTTGTTTTCATGATTTATAAATTTCGATGACTGAAGGGATGATTTGACTTTAAGATTGAATATTGTTAAGTGATCATGGTGACAAATTGTAGATACATCTTCACCTGTTTTGCACTGGAAATGTACCTAAATGAAGCTTTATATTTATCTATGGCCATTGATTTCCAAACTTTTTCAAGTTGTGTACTTTTGTGTTAAATAACCATGTAGAACATAAGATGATCTGAATTAAAGATATGTTCCCTTATAATGTCGTGACATTTAGTTTTTTTTTTCCCACAATCTTGAATTAATCGTTTCAAATGGATCTGTGGAGGTTGATTTCAAAATCCAGAATATGAAGATCCAATGCCGGCTCATCTCCTATCTCGTTCCTTGTTTTAACTAATGATTGTGGATTTGGCCATTTTTTGTGGGTGATCCAACAAGGATGATCTATATGATGGATTCACTCTCATGCCTAAAGCACGAAAATTCAGATATCTCGTGATGGCCATTCGTCAGCAGTTGTGGCTAAATAATGACTTCTTTGTATGTGTGTTTTGAACAATCATCTGTCCAAGCAAAAAGATCCTTACCACTTTTTGTGTTCTATCTCTTGATGCTATTGCTGGAATAAACGACTTTTTTTAATACTATATAAACACTCTTGCTATGAATTTATTAAGTATTTATCCTGATTACTCTTTTATCCTTTTTGAGCAGCTAATATGGATCCTTACGCCATCATAACTTGCCGGACTCAGGAAAAGAAAAGTAGTGTCGCATCAGGTCAGTCTATGAGTTTCTTCTCTTAAATATATTTCATAAATTTGTGATTGGCTTAATGCCCTTGACCTCTAGACCTCAGAGTTTTGCTAGATTAGTGCATTGTTGTGGCATCTTTTCTGTCCTTGAGGCTCTTGTAGTGTTGTGGATTTCTGCCTCTTAGGCTGTTTAGTATAATTTGGTTATGTTTTTTGTTGAATTCACCATGGAACATCCAATGTAGGTCAAGGATCCGAACCAGAATGGAATGAAACCTTTCTCTTTACCATTTCTGAAGGTGTTACTGAACTCAAAATCAAACTCATGGACAGTGACAATCTCACTAATGACGATTTTGTTGGCGAATCAACGTGAGTAATGCCTTGAGTTTTTTGTTTTTTGTTTTTTTTTTGAAATTTTTAGAGCGGAAGTGATTAAGAATCAGTTGAGGACTACAAATCCTGTCTTTCAATTGCCAAAAAAAAAGTTCAAAAGAAGGTTGAAATCCAAAATTCGAAGTGAGTGCTGTTTTTGACATTCATCTGTGGTTATGGTTACGAATGATACTTTAGATGTTAAGTTGATACCCTGTATATCCACAATTTTTATCATGACTAATATAGTCTGTTCAACAGAATCCCCTTGGGTGCTGTTCTTGCTGAAGGAAGTGTTCCAATAGCTTCATACAATGTTGTCAAGGACGACAAATATTGTGGAGAGATTAGAATTGGCCTTAACTTCAAGCGTGAGGTACTGTGCAGACTTACGTAGTCAAAGAACTTAGTCTTCCAAAAGCACATTAGATGTCAGATCAATTCAGTTCTACAGAGAAGTTTAACCAAATGATTCATTACACATTCTTTGCCATTTTGGGTTTATCAGCATATAGCTAAACTGAAGCAAAAGTTTTCTGCTTTTGGCCATTGCAGGCAGGATCTGATGAGGGATATTATCGGCAGGAGGAGAGCTTTGGTGGATGGAGCCAATCTTCCAGAGACTACTAGTTAATCTCTGTCTTGATTCGAAATCTGTTGTTTTAAACATTTTGCTAAACTTGGTACTACCGTAGAATGGGAAGTATGTTGTTTCGGATTCATATTTTCTTATTTTCAAACATAGGATTTGACTTCAGCAAACAAAATGTGATATTCGATGATGTTTGTTACTTTCTTGACATGATCATAACTGAAGTAGATGATGATGAAGTTTTAGTTGCCAAATCAAAGGTTAGAATTTAGAAAAAAAAAGTGCTGTAAAGTGGAACACGTATCTTCCTTTATGTGTTGAAGTACATCCTAGCAAAAGAAAGTGAGCAGAACCTACGTCCAGCAAGTTTGTGGGATTGTGCCAAGCCAATTTTGTCTAACAATGTTGCTAGAGGTTGTACGGTTCTGGAGCAGATCAACCAGAAAACAAGAAGCAACTCTTGAATGTTCTTTAAGTACGTGTATTTGTGCGATTTTCGAGGATTAATATGTGGAGATCCATTGACGACTCTCTCTGTTTTCCCCCTATAATGTTACCTCAATTCACAATGAGAGGAAATTAGTGCCATCTGAGCACAAGCAGAAACTCATCAGCTAATTCTATAAGCAGACTCATCTGATGCAGGTAATGACAATCGATGCTATGAAAGAAACTATGCGATCAAAACCAAAAATTGCTGCATATTTTTTTCAGTAATAATGAACAATGAATCCCCCTATATTACGTGGAATAGCTGTACACAAGACGTTACTACTTGTTTCCCAACTTTGAACTCAGCAATCACACAAAACAAAACAATAAGCTGATCAACATTAGATCAAATATAGATATCTTCGTTGATGACCAGGTAGAATAGTTACATTCAAAATCCTATAAGAAAGATCAGCGTGATAAAGGTCTTCTTCACATTCAAAGTCCTACAGGGGAAAAAAAGTCCTGCAAGAAAGATCAGAATAATAATAATCTTCGAAACAGCTCGATCAGAACACATGGATATTTTTTAATTTCTCCTCCAACTTGAATGATTCACTGGGAAGACAACAGGAAGGTCGGGATTCTTCTGTCTCGTTGTCTGTCACTCGGCACCAAGACTCAAAAGGGCTGCATTGAGGCTCCAACGAAGAAGTTGAAAACAAATCAAGGGTAGAAACCGAGTCAACAAAGCCAAAAGGGTTCATCTGATAACATTGACCAGAGGAAAGACGACTTCCATCATCTAAGAACTTCAGGTTTTTGACAATGAAGGGATGATCCAATAATTCTTCTGCTGTCCATCTCTTGGGAACAGTTGCTTCAAAACATCTCGCCAAGAAATCTTTTCCCTCCTCACAAAGGTTTTCTGGTATCTTAGGTTTCTCATACAGAATTTTACTTACCAGTTCTCCTATAGTGCGACACGACCAGACTGGTTCGCCAGTTATCATCTCTACGACAATGCAGCCCAAGGACCATATATCACCTGATGCCTTACAACCACATGCTAATGATTTCTGGCGATGGCATTAAATAGTCGTACATTCGGTTATTGTATCCCATTCTTCCCCATTCATGTATTTCGGTGTCCCACACTTCTGTAGCGAGTCCAAAAAATCGTATTTAAGTTGGTGGTTATGCCATGTTGTCGTTCGGCGTTGGGAAAACAACGAAGATGTTACCCGGCTTTAAATCACATGAATAATCTCCACATTCATTGATAGCCATAAAGGCCTTAGAGGATCATGTAAGTGTAACATGCAACGACCCCCCCCCATTGGATTCGGGATATGGTACTTTTGTTCTTTTTGACTTAAGTCAATGAGAAGGGAGCCACCAAACGGCGGCGCATACTCCAGAAGAGATTATAGGACTCTTTACTCTTTTTCCGTGCTTTATGTCTCGCCAAAGCAATGGGATGATGTTTGCGCTCGCCCTCAATTGTACAGAACATCCGCCTCTTTTCTGCCAAAGTTTTCTGAGCGATTGATATTTCAGCTGACTTCACGGCGGCTAATGGAGGCGATGGTGAAGAAAATCCGCTGGTGCAAAGCCAAGTAAACCCTCCCATAACGATCCAGCCCCAAGAATCTTGCCCTTCTTCACTGTTAAAGGCCTCTTTCATTTCCAGAATTGCTTGTTCTTCTCCTTCCTCTCTACTGTTGCTATATTTACAGCAGCTTTACACGAATGTAGAGAAAGTTTAAGCGAGAGTGGGGTTTTGATTCATGTCTATATGACGACGAGGTTCTTATCAGAAGCTAATCAATGGCTAATGGCTTGACAGTTAATGTTCGTGGTTGAAATCGGCGGTGTAGAGTTAGAGAGATGGGAATAATGCATGATTTCATGGTCGATGCTAGATATATAAACTTACGTAGGCTTCATAGTTCATGCCATACTTTCGAAACCCATTGCACTATCATGTTGGATACACTTACTTTATCTTCTTTATTTTTCGTTTCCTAGTAGGAATATGGATCGTCGTGCATTGTTCAAACTCTCTGCTTCTAGAAATATGAATATAAAACCTCATCAAACTTTTATTCATAATCCACAATTAGAATGGAATTCATTTTAATTAAGAACGTCCGTGGTCGTTTTCCTTTTTTTTTTTTTTTTTCACTTAATAGGGTATAAAGGCAGGAAAAATAAAAGAAATTAGCAGAATTTTCACGAAAATGGAAAAATGATCCAAAGGCGGTGGATTTTGCCTTCAAATTTCAGCGCAGCCCTGGTACACAAGCTGTGAGCCGCTGGAATCCTATTGCTATATTAGGATTAACTTCACTTTGCACCCCTAAAACTTGCATATTTTTTCATTTTGCACCCTAAACTTTACTTTTGAACATTTTACACTCTTTATTTTAACACTTTGGATTTCAAACTCTCAAATTTATCTCATTTAAGTACAATCAATGATTACATTCGCAAAATTAACGAGATAAAGGGCGGTGAAAATTAATGACAATGTATCATTTTGTTCCAACTATGATTTCTTAGCTTTTTGACCATTTTTAGCACATTACCATTTATTTTTATGTTCCAAATTACTAATATTGTTAGCAAAATTAACAATATAAAAGATAGTACAAATTAATGATATCATAGTATTTTATTTTTGCTATGATTTCTTTTGGCACATTATCATTGATTTTTTAGGTCCTCTATGCCATTAATTTTGCAAAATTTGGCATTGACTAGATTTAAATAGGACAAATTTAAAAGTTTAAGATATAAAGTGTCCAACATTGAGAGTTTAGTATGCAAAATGTCCAAAATTAAAATTTAAGGTGTAAGGCAGGAAAGCGATACAAGTTTAGAAATGCAAGGTGGAGTTTGTCTGCTATATTATAAGTCCAAAAAATTCAATCAAGTGCAAATTTTTACTTGTTAGAAGTTTAATTTTAAACTTGACCACACCCCATCACTTTGTAGGTTTCTATTTGCATTAACTACATTTAGTCCAAAAACAATCGTACTTTTTACGAGCGTGATTAACGTTTTAGGATAATTTTAGAAAGCTCCATTGAGGTTTATCCCAATTTCACTTGGTTGAGGTTTTGAATATCACAATTACCTCTCCTATTTTAAATTTTGATATAACAAAATCAGCCAATGCATTAAATTTTAAAAAGTATTTGCTTTCCCAAGTCACTATTGCACACTCACACAGCAAATTAAGCCAAAAAAAAAAAAGTAAAAATGCAATAAAAAGGAGTTAAGTTGAACCTAAACATTTATTAATGGCAAAAATATGAGGCAAATCATCATAAAGTCATTAAGAGAATAAAATATAAAATCCCACGCTCAAAACTACTGACGAAAAATACCAAATTTATCTCATCAAATGAAGACATTTATTTTTAGATGCTACTAATTAAGTGTGATAATATTGCCTAGCTACTTAATTATTGCCAGTGGGGGATATTCCTCTCCTATTTTTAGGTGTCCTTTTAAAATTGAGTTTGTTATGTTAAATTTTTGTAGCCTTAAGTATTTTGAAGCATCAACAATTAAATATCAAATCTCGCAATTAGATATGGGTTCTTTCGGAAAAGCAACCAACAATTTTGGAGTAGGATTAATTTATGTTCCTTTATTATATGTTGTTGTTTGGGGGGGGGGGGGGGGGCGCAAGATACAACAATCAACAAAAGAATGAAGAGTTCAGTTTGGTTCAATTGCTACTTGCTACCTTGCTACTGCTAGAGGTGACATGTCTGCCTGCCTCATTTCTGAGGGTGGAAATGCTCAATCTTGCAACAGTGCTGGATAAATATTTCGACTTATACCGGTGCAATTGATTCCCACAAACTCAAGCACATCAATGGAAGCCTGTGAATTGCCTGCACAAGGAGCTAAGAACCCTGAAGCAAGACGACAACATAATTAGACAAATTCAGCAGGCTGTATACAGCGAAGAGAAAGTCTTACAGCTGCCTGGATTGTAGAGAATATCTGAAGAAAGCTTAGTGCTTGCAAGCGCTCCGCCAGGCGCCATGTATTTGGTCCCATGTAAGCGTAAATGAGGAGATTCATTTCCATTTTTGCACAATAATTATTAGGCAACATTTGAATGTCTCTTAAGTAAAGAGTAAGATTTGGAACCAATCTTCTAGAGAACACTAGCTAGCTAAGTAGGTATCCATTTTGCCATCTAGATCACAAACTACATAAATTGAGAGAAATTCTTTTTTAAAGGTACTTGATGTAAATTTGTCTAGATAATTTTTAATTTATCAAAAAATGAAAAGGCAGGAACAAAATGAAAATTTGAAATACTAAATCACATTGGTTTGTTATAACAATCAAACAATCTATCTAATTGCAAACCCTTCTAGTATATGATTATGTTTGTTAACATGTTTGTAAATATTTAGCAGGTTCATGACATAAAAATACTTGCTTACGCCATATATACAGATTCGTGGAGTTCTTTCAGCAGTAGCTGAGGACTTGATTAATCTGAACTTATTTTAACCCTCGTTGATTCATATTATTCATCCACAATAAAATGGAATGTTCATTTAATCCAGAATATTAGGAAATTTGCCATAAATTTCTTGACTTTTGAATTTTTAATTAGTTAAGAAGCATTAAAAACGCTGACATACAAAACAGAAATTGTCTAATTATGTGTCAGATTGGAAAATTTTTGTTTACGTTATTAATGATGGTTAAAGTTTCTTGCAAAAGAAACGGTTCTGACGTTTGATATTTTTCAATTGAAAAAATCGTTCAAAATGTTCTCACATTTTGTAAAATAACTTTGTCATCTCTTACTTTTAAAAGTATAATTTTACATTCCTATAAATTTACATTGATCAAATTTAATCTCTACCTAAGTTTTCGACTAGTTTTTTGTCAGAATCCACCACGTGCCTTGCATGTGATTATTCTTTAAGGGCAAAATTGTCAAATCAAATTTTACATAATTCGATTTATAATCCTTCACATTTCACAAAATGAATTTTTTCATCTCTCACATTTTTTAAAATAAATTTTTTTATCCCTCATTGATTATGTGTACGAATAGTTTTTTTTTAACATATATATATATATATATATATATATATATATATATATATTTGATTTCACTTGAATAGTATGAATAATATGTAATATATCTCTATCTGATTTCACCTAAACAGGCTAATCATAGTTATACACATTCTATTCAATAGATATATACAAGGGTTTAAAACTAACAACTTTGTTTTAAACTCATGTATATATTTATATGATTTCACCATGTGAACCTATTCAATATTAGTGGCCTTTCTCTTTTGGTAATAAGTTATTTACTGAGTTATATAATAAGACCATTTAATTAATCGGTCATAACTCGAATTCTATAGTCATGCTAACAAATTGCAGTTTAAAGTTGAAGTTTCTACTTGTCACTTTTAAGACCGACAGTTGAATTACTTGTCTTGTGGTTGTCTTAAAATTTGAAAGTGCCAATCACTTACTTCTTTTTATCTTTTCCTTTATTTATTTTTTTGTCCAAATTTAATTCGATATAAACACTCGATAATGTTTAGGATTAAATGTCCACTTTGTTTTCAATTTTCAAGTGAAAGGAAATAATTATGAGTGAAAGCTAACAATTTTTTTAAACTCATGTATATATCTATTTGATTTTATCTGAGCAGTACAAAATAGCATGTAATATATCTCTATTTTATTTCATCAAGTAAAATCAAATAGAGACATATTACATGCTATTCATACTATTCAGGTGAAATTAAATAGAAATACACATGGGTTTAAAAAAAAAAAACTATTTGCGCACATGATCAATGAGCGATGAAAAAATCTATTTTGAAAAATATGAAGGATGAAAAAAAATCATTTTGTAAAATGTGAGTGATGAAAAAATTCATTTTATAAAATGTGAGGGACTATAAATTGAATTATATAAAATTTGAATTTACAATTTTGCCCTTAAAAATGATCACGTGCAAAGCATGTGGTAGATTCCGATAAAAAATTAGTCTGAAACTTAGATAGAAACCAAATTTGACCAACGTAAATTTGTAAGAGACGTAAAATTACACTTTTAAAAATGAGAGACGAAAAATGTCATTTTGCAAAATGTGAGGGACGTTTTGAACGATTTTCCGTTTTCAATCCTAAACTTATATATTCATAGTCCTAAATCAGATTAACAATTGAAGGAATGGGCGAATTTATGAGAAGATAGAAGCGACTCAACATATTAAGAATTGAAGATTTATGTAGGATGTTGATAATTGGTTTCATCCCCTTAAACCTCAATTCAAATTCGACAATAAATTAATGCAATCTGAACTTAGTAGCACAAAATACGTGGGGATTTCCATAAGCGAATATATTAAATGCATCCAGCCAATTTGAAGTTTGTAGTAGTGTACCATATGGTAAAGAAATACTAATTTGTGCTAAATGTAAAAGTTCTTAAAGTAGAATATTTGGTTTCGCTTTAAATTGTAATGTATAATTACTCCTTTATGAGAAACAAAATCACAGGACTTATGAAAGAACTCTGCCCCTTAGCAGAAACAAATAATAATTATAATTAACATGTATGCATTGCATCACATTGTACACATTATCTGTTGAAGACCAAGAATGTTTACGTTGAAATCACAAAATTCCGATTCAAGTGATCATGCTATTTTCCTCAATTGTGAAGAATAAAAGATGGATCAAAAAGCTTCAAAAGACCCGTGAACTTATAGAATTCGAAAGATATACCAAAGCACCTGATAATAGTTCTTAGTCTTAATATATCCACCTTGAAACTTATAAGCAAGAAGCACAAGGGGTAGTTCATGATGGGATAAACTGTGCTAATCTTTCAAGCTAACAGATGTGATTTTAGAGAAACCCCCCCGCCCCCCAAAAACAAAAACAAAAAAAAAATACCCCCAAAAAAAAGCAACCAAGAAAAAAACGCGGAGAAAAAAGAGTGTATACATTAACTCTTTATCCAACACCAAGTAAACAAATGATAACATTAAAAATTCCCGAATGTTGATTCTTTGAAGGGATACTAATTTTTCCATATTTCAATATATATATATGTGTGTGTGTGTGTGTGTGTGTATACACAACAATACACCATATATAAGTGAAATAAAAACTAATTTACAGCACTGAGAATCAAACATTTAAAAGATCTCCATGCTTGAAAACTCATAAATCTATGCTGCTGAACAAATCAGTACTACTCACTGCCGATTCACTGGTAAGCCAGATACTAGGTTGAGAATTTTCAGTACTAATGATGTGTGGTGAATGTGGGCAGCATTGGGTCTCTGATGATGAACTTGAAAACAGGTCGAAATCCACTCAATGGAACCAAAGGGGTTGATATGATCATGAGACGGATTAGCCAGCACTTGACAATAATGACTACAAGGTGGATCGTGAGTTCCATATAACAAGCTCAAGTTGTTGACTATAAAGGGATGATCGAACAGCATCTTTGCTGTCCATCTCTTGCTAAGATCGCTTTTAAAACATCTCTTCAAGAAATCCTTCCATCCTCAGATAGACATTCTGGTATCTTAGCTTTTTCAAACATTATCTTCGAATATAAATCGCTTACATCCTTACATGTTGACCAAATTCTTTTCCGCTACAGCACATGCCAAGGACTATATATCACAACCTGTCTCATGCAAACCAACGATCACAAATTCTGGCGATGCATAGAAAGTTTTACCTTGGTTACTCTTTCCCATCCTTCCGTTTTCAGATAATTCAAACACTTCCATGGCATGTCCAAAGTCAGCTATCTTAAGCAATTATTCCCATGATCACCACTAGGGTAAACCAGGATGTTACCAGGTTTGATATCACGGTGGACAATATGTACTTCCTGAATAGCAGAGAGACCCTTGAGTGTTATAAAAGTGTAACAAGCCACAAGGGATTCGGGTATAGTACCTTTATTCTTGTTGATCAAGTCATGAAGGGAGCCCCCGGCCGCGTACTCGAGAAGCAGATTGTAGACATCTTCACCATTTTCAGTGCTGATATCATGCCCGAAACACTGGATAATATTGGGGTGTCCTCTCAGCTCACTCAAGTACAAACCCTCTTCTAGTAAAGCTGAGGAATGGCAAGCATCAGCAGATTTCACAGCTGCCAATGCTGAAAGAGTTGATGACTCCACTGGAGCTGTCAAATAAACCTTGCCATAAGATCCAGCTAGAAGAATCTTCAGTTTCTTCCACGTTATAGCCATTCTTTCATTTCACTTTTCTCTTTTTTTTTTTTTTTTTTTTTTTTTTTTTTTTGATTTTTCTAATGTCGGAAACAAACAACGTAATAAAACAATTACCAATGATCATAGGGTTTAGCAGTATATAAGCTAGCAAGCATTTATAGGAGTAGCCTGATATCCAAGGAGTTAACCTTCGGATTTGATATAGATTTTAATGGGAATGGTAATCTCACTATTATCCGTTTTCTAATGGCAGCCGGAGCTTGGAGTAGATGAATTAACTGAGGCCGTTATTAATATCCCTTGATTAGTTGGATTGAAAATTTTTGTTAATTACAAGCTAGCCACGTCTTCTTGTTTTGCAGGAATTCCGATTGAATCTCTTTGTTGCTCAGTTACGTAAATAACAGTTTCTCTTCTATAGGAACAAAAAAAGATACTATTAAATTTTCCTCTCAAAAAAAAAAAAAAATAGTGTAGTAACATTCATCTTGAGGCCCCTCTTTTTCTTATAATTAATTTCATTTTCACAACTTATACTATATATACCTTATTTGTTTACTTTATCTTCTTATTTGACTACCGGTATCCAAAACATTCTGAAACATGAAGCTTTACAATAGATAGATTTTCTGTCCGATTCGCTCAATTAAAGAAAATTTAGGCGTCATATAAATTGTATGACTAGACCTTATTATACGAGAAAATATTGGTCAAATATACCTCCAGTACTCAATAACTATAAAACTAATAATCAAAACTACAATTAAAGCTATAGTCAATAAAGTCATCGTCTTAGTTGACCACAATATGTGGCTGGTCTTAGTTGACCATCCCCTGTCCTTTCCCTTAGACTAGGCTAGAATAGGTTATACAACATCTATCGTTGCCGGAAAAAAAAATAAAGTCATCGTCTAGATTTGGATTTTTTTTTTTTTTCACTTATACAATTACCCGATTTGGTATAGAGTGTAATGCATATCATAGTTGTTTGGATCGAGATACCTATGGAGCATCAGAAACTGATTTTTTTTTTATACCAGTTCTACGGTAAGATATATTCACAGCTCCTTGATTCATTATAACATGTGTAAAAGGAATCTAAATACTCAATGATACTGAATATTTTGCGTTTCTGAAAAACAAGAAAAGAAATATCTAAGAAGAATTAAATAAATTAAGATTGAATTTTACAATTTGAATTTTTATATATATTTTTTACATGTAAGAAGCCATTGACATGATTTAATAGTATAATCATGAAAGTATGTGGAAGCAAAGTGATGGAGTTTTCCATTCTAATATTCTATATATTTTAGTTTGACCACCCATGAATGATAGATCATGGATTGAATCACAGTGTTACTGTGTTTAAAAAAAGTTCAACTTAGTTGCATAAGTTAATTGGTTGGTTGAAATCTATAATGTCACTCTAGATATATTGTGGTTATCTTACAAGTCACGTAATACACTTAATTCTTATGGCAAATTTCTCAAGTAAACAGGATAAGATTTTGAGATTACAAGATATATATATATATATATATATATATTTATATGTGTGTGTGTGTGTGTGTGTGTGTCAAAGTATGTAATGGTGCACAATATATAGTGCAAATTTACGGTACTTTGAGTGACTAATCGCGGCCACAAGGCACCTAAGTGCCTTTGTGTGTGCCTTTAGTCAAGGTTTCGACCCTCTATCATTGCCATTCAATTTGTAGCTTCTTATTTGTAAGTTGAGTAGGCAGTATGGTTTGACGGTAGTTTTAGTTTTTGTTGGTTTCTCAGTATCTAGTTCAACTTGTCCCTTCCCTCTTAGGTGTCAATTGACCCAAAAAAAAAAAGAAAATTCAATACAGTATTGTTGATTTTTTAGTATTCAGTTGGACCTGCCCCTTCCCTTTTAGGTGTCATTTGACCCCAAAAAAAAAAAAAAAAAAAAACCTCACTAAAGTGGGAAGGATTTGTTTAAACATTTTATGGTTCGTCCTTTCTAGGGTTGCAAATGAATCAAATCGCTTAAGTCAAAATTCGAGTTGATCTTAAATTAGTCAAATTGAACTCGAGTTCAAAAATATTAAACTCATTAACTCGCAAGTTCAATTATATATATATATATATATATTTTTTATTTTAATAGTAAAATTATATATATATTTCTAATATTTTATTATTTATTAAGAAAAATATTATATTATTTATTTTTTAAAAAATAAAATAATTATTTTTTCGCTCTCGAATTTGAGTCGAACTCGAGCTCGAACTTTAAATTGGCAGTCTATTGAGTTCGAGTTACATAAAATTAAGTCAAGATTTGACTCGATTAGGCCAAAAATCCGATTCGACTCGACTCGACTCATTTGTAATTCTAGTCCTTTCCTTGTACTCAGCACACACAAAAATAAAATACGTAGCATACACCATTGGCAAGTAAAGGACCATTTCAAGCTCAAACATCCAAAAGTTGCTGATGATATTACTGATAATGTTTACAGCTAAACAGCAAGAAGAAGATTAGATTAATCAAACAGTACAAAACGCAGAACTTTAAAATTTCAACATATGCATATGCTACGAAGGGGGTTTGAGTTATCCAATTTAAACAAAATACGATGAAGGAATGACTCATTGCCAGCCAGCTTGTCTCACTCATCCTCACTACTGCTTGTCTTCCACGACGTCAGATTCTTGAGCTTTTTCAGGGATAATCTCTGGACCAAAACCACGGAGCCTGCGTGATGATCTTAGCGGAACAGGTTTAGTCAAAGATTTGGCGACGCCTTTTCCCTTGTTTGATGAAGTTGCACCTTCATCCAGCTTTTTATCAACTGCAACAGCTGATGAAAGATAGGAGAATCAGGGGGAAATGTAAACAAGGGAAAACTAGCAAAGTAATTCAAATTCGAATCCCTCATGGCTGGACAAATTAAACTTAGAATTCTCATAAAATTACTCTTTTTTGTTTTTTCTTCGAAAGGAAATAAGCATAATGACACACCATGATCAGAGACTTGGGTGCTGGAACTGGGTAGTTTCTTGCTGGATACTGCAACTAGAGCTTGTTCCTTTGGCTTAGAATGTGCAGGTGGCTACAAGTAAATAGAGTTAATAAATCAAGTTATCTGCAGGCAAAGTTAATTTCCATCTTATGCTACCCGAATTTTTTTGAAAAAAAAAAAAGTAAATTCCCTCTCAAGTTTAAATACCGATGCAAAGAACCCAAAAGACCTATATAAATACCCCCCCCCCCCCAAAGCGCGCACACACACACACACACACACACACTCATATACACTTAACTTTAACTCGGTGACCCTTCTAAGTGTTAGAAAGTTACCGCAGTGTGGGCCTTGAGCTCATGTCTCTTGTCTACTTCTTCTTCTTCTGATGAAGAATCATCTTCTGAGGATTCCCACTCATCTTCTGAGCTGGTATCAGCTAATTGAGCAGGATGAAAACCCTGCAACAGGTGTTTGTGTTTAGGCATGTAATATTGTTATTAGGATCCAACATTTGGATGGATTAAGCAACCGTAAGTGTAAGCCTGCAGGAAATAGGAAAGTGCTTGAAGTTCAAACTCACAGGCTCATAGATGGAAATTTGCTTGCGTTTAGCAAAGGCCACATATCTCATCAGATCTTCCATTGTGAAAAATTTTTGGCCGATCACATTTGTGTAACACTGCATCAATCGAAAAAGAAATTAGTAATATAATTTCCCCGTAACCCTATCACAAGGGCCTCAAAAGAATCCATGACAAGGCACAATAACCCATATAGCTTCTGATTAGCAGAGCCACCATATAATTTCATATTTATCATGTATCGAATTATCATAATAAAATAAGATAAAAGTTGCAAGAAATGGTAGAAGGTTTTAGTCCTATTTCTCTTCAACATTTATTAAAGAGCAGCAAATGATTTCAAATGATGCGCACATGTCTAGATGTATGTATGCACTCCAGATACATTTATCTTCCTTTAATGTTTTACGAACATTTACTTATACAAATTTTCTTGATTTGAACATATATAGACTCGAGAGTGGAAGTGATCAATAGTCACTGAATTCAAGAAGACTATATAGACTTGTTTGTTTCTTCTTACAAAGTTGTTTTTGGATTACTTAACAATATGAACATCATAATGATGTACTATTATCATACTGCACAATAATCAACTAGGTAACCGATCAAAATGGGTTTCGAAAGATTTAACTAATAAGATAAAGAAACAATTAGAAAAGAAGATTGAACTTGGCATGCAAATAAATAAGGACATGTCTTTGTGTAGGTAAAATCACTAGTTCAACTCTTGGGGTAGATATAGATTAATATCTACCTACTCGGTTTCATAAACCGGTGGCCAATTGAACCTGCTGGTTCTATCAACCCTGTGATTTCAGATTTTCCTTCCTTGTTAGATCCGATTTGAGATCCAGTGCGATTAAATTGTCGATTTTTCAATTGAGCCAAGTCATGTTTAATGGTGTATGCTTACATGTTGAACTTCTAACAGTGCCCCGATGAGTAAAAATATTCTGATTAAAATTTTTTTTCGATTAAAGGCTTCATTCATTGATTGAAATGAACTTAGAAGATACATTTGGAATAAGCAAGAAAGCCAAATGAAAAGAAAAGGGTTTAGAACAGATTAAGAAAAAAAGTTCAACAAAGAGAGAATTTGCATAAGAATAATCCACAAATTTACAACCATCTCCACAACGCATTTAAAAGTTTGCCTAAATAAAAAATCATGTAAAATCTCCATTTTTTTTTACCCTTTTACGCTTTTTGTAAATTAAAAGAAGTGGTCGGTGTACATGCATCTAAAGATAAATAGTTTATGTGTTTCACCCAAGAAAAAGAACCTGTTCATCATCACACGACATTGCACCTATGCTTAAATTTAACACGCTGATATGCATTACACATGTATATACCTTTACTACTTCCCCATTGCGTTTTTCATGATCAACAACTCTCCATCCTTCCGGTATTTGGGGCTTTTCATCAGTAG